ACTTGCACTGGCATTTTCAAACTGCTAGGTTGGCAGGAGCTGGGGCACTGTGGTCTAAACCACTGAGCCTCTTGGGCTTGCCGATCGGAAGGTCGGCGGTTCGAATCCCTGCGACGGAGCGAGCTCCCGTTGCTCATCCACATTGGACATAGACATATACAGTATGCCTATTCCATTTTAAGAAGAAAACCTTGTTGTATGGTGAAACAGAGGCCGCTGTAAAATGCTCTGGTGGCTCCCAGTCAGAATTGAGAGGGTTGGTTGAGAAGTTCCATCTGAAATCTTGGCAACATTGCTTGGGATCCTATTTTAGATTAAAGTTTGTATGAAATTGTATTTCTTTTGGAAACTTAGTGAAGTTCCACAGTAACAAAAATAATAAGAAATAAAAAATAGTAAGCCACAGACCATTTCTACATTAATATTTTGCATAAGGCCACCCACTTGGATCTACTGACAGCTCCTCAACTCAACTGCACATATGTACATGTAGAAGACTATTATATTTTTAGTGAGCTGACAAACCATGAGCTTCCCTTCAAGACTGAATTAGCCCACATTTCAGTAGCTTTATGCTTGCATAGGGGTAGCTATTAAAAAGATTTAAAGGATTATAGATTCAAACGGATTTTGACTAACAAGGGCAAACATATGCTACTTATTTAGAGGCAAATCATAACAATCCATCTTTGTAATAATGATTCTAAAATTTAATAGAATAATTTTGGATTTTGACACTAGCAAGATGATGAAAGATTCAGTCTTGTTAGAGGGTATGCCTGTGACACATACCTGAGGCAGGTTACACTGCAAAGCAAACAGAAAATGTTGTGACATAGTTCTGGATTATCAACCATGACAGATAAGACTGCAGAGGGCAGTGATATTTGCTATTCAACCCACAGGCTACATACCTAGTACTTCTGGCATAAAGACTTTCCTAAATACATTTTTATTATTGATTTAAGAAATAATAACACCACCAGCATGATTCTTTTAATATAAACATTGCTCTAAGAAAACACAGTGTCTACTTTCTCCAAGTAAACTTGCCAAAGCTATCAGGGGAAACTTCTCAAAATACTACATAAAAATGTCATAACTTAATTTAATTTTTTGGGGGGGAGGGATAGAAAACTACAATGCAAGCCCTATAGGAAAACAGTATTATACAAAAACACTGTAGCCTAAATGCAGAAAATGGCATTAGTTTATGAGGAGGTTTCAAATCAGCATACAGCATATTCAGTTTGACCTGTTAAAGTGGTACCTTAACTTTTCTTATTGCATTAAAAACAAGGATAATTCCAGTGATAATTCCCCTAATTTTCTGTTCAAATAAAATTAAAATGAGATTTTCAACTTTGTAATTCTAAAATGCATATTGAAAACGTAAGGTTTTTATTTAGCTATCCAGATGCAATAAAGTAAACGGGGGGGAAACATCAGAAGTAACTCATTTTTACTTTTGGCATATTTTAATAAAAACAAATTATTTTGAAAAAAGGGTAGAAAATAAAACCTCAAATTTGGACTACATTTTAGTTGCTATTTACAATAAGCCATGCCAAAGAAACAGCACGAACAAAAATGCACAAGTTGGGCTGGACCAACAAAATATATACTTTGGGCTACACTTTCATTTTACAAGTGGCACAATGTTGAAAACCATTTTTGAGAAGAGAACCTAGAAGGACCTTAAGATGTTTATTACACAGCTGATGCTTGAACAAATGATGGAGCAGTTCTTCACCACTGTCCTGCAAAGTTCAGTAGGGAACATTCCCTTCTACCCGTTGTTGCAAATGTATGACATTTGTCTGGAAACACAGGTTTATTAAAAAATGAGTACCCTACCTCTGTGCCCTGGCCTGTAATGTTGCTTAATGCGGGAGAACAAAGGTGAAAGCAGAGGATTTCTAATCGTATCAAAATGATTTTGCAGTTCTGTATCTTGAACTCTACTTCTAAACTGTACTTTAGCTTCTGATAGGTTAAGAAATCTTTGCTACAGAAGCAAGGAATCAAATATACTATAAAGAATATAGACTGAAGAGTTTGATGAACAGAACCAGTTGAGCGGGAGTAGTTCCTGGGAAATCAAGCAAAGACCTCAGCAAAAGTGTGACTTTGATTTAAAATAAAAACAACAATTACACAAAATCACAGACTTGTAGAGTTGGAAGGGACCATGAGGATCATCTAGTCCAACCCCCTGCAAAGCAGGAATTCATTTTGAAATTAGGAATAGTAGAGCAAAAAGCCAAATGCCAAGACAATAGTAATATGCCCTACTACATATATTTCAACCATAAGGAAGATGAGAGACAGCTTGGAAGAATTTTTTTTTTTGGTTGAGTCAACTAAATAACCATCCATTTTCTTCAAAATGAGTATTAGTTGCATCCAAAGGTAGTTTTGCCTTAGTGTAAAGAATATATTTCCAACCTATCCTAGTTTAAAAAATTAGAAGAAATGAAGCATAAAAATCAGGAATGATGTACACCTTTATTTTTAAAGAACAAAATCTGCTTACCGAAACAGCAGTTATTCTCAAAGAATCTATGGTTGAATGCGTAAAAAGATACCACAATATTGGTCCAATTTCTCCAGTAATAAATCCCTGAGCATAAGAAGAGAAGGTGGAGCATACATTTTCAACAATCTTTGCTGCCATATGGTTTACAACTCGTTCTTCCTAGAAAGAGAGAATTTTTAAAAAAATTAACTATCACTAAGTAAAAATTAAATTCAAACTATAGCAACAGCTGACTGATACAGGGAAGGACTGGATGTAGGAAATCCCTAGGGCATGATTTTCCCCACCTCTGGATAATAATTTATTTCTATTTTTTCCATAAGGGCAGATTCAAACCACTTTGCTTCACATGTTATTTCTACAGTAAAATGACTCCCACTTATCAACCGTTAATGAAGCATCAACTCGAGTTTACTACACCAGTTCCTAACAAAGAAGTCCTCATTTCAACAAGATGGAATGGATTATCCTAAAACAAGTGGGCAAAGCAGACATTTTAGCATTGCTTTGCCAAACAATTTTGACAACTGTCCTAAGATTATTTTGTCATTTCTTTGCCTCACAGATTCCAGCAAAAAGGATGCAAATGGATGAAGGAAGACCACGTCTCTTTGGCACTGGAGTCTTAGAGCTATTCGTGGGAAAGCAGAGGGAGGAAGATATATTTTTAATTAAATAAATTATTTTATAAACCTGCTTCCCCCTTTTAGTTTTGTTCTGACTGTATTTATTTTAACTATAGGACACAGCACTACAAATTGCTGTGAGCCATTCCCAGTATGACTGTATTGTTGAGAAGCAATAACCACCAAGAAAAATGGGGGGGGCGGGGAGAGAGACAAAGTGTTTAATATTATGAATCTTTAAAGTGTAATTATTAAATCATTTGGGTTCTAATTTTGCTTTAATTCAGCACAAATTAAAACTACTTTCAAAACAGATCAAAACCAAAGTAAAAAATTAACAGATAGCAATTGTTACTATAAATAATATCTCTCCAGCAACATAAGGCAGTAATTTAGGTTATGTACAGTCAAATGTATTCCTTAAGGTTCTCTTTAGTTTGCATATGGCAGCCAACGACAAGATGAAGCATGCCCTGGACCAGATAACCATAGCATCTTGGCTGGAAAAGGGTCATGGATTGTCACTGTGTTTCATGAACTCAATGAGGCTGTCAGACTAATTCAATTTGCTGCCACCTGAGATAGGCTCTCTTAAGCCCCTCTGGGATCTATTATCAAACAGTGTATACGCAGGAAGATTGTGCCATTTTCTGCTTAATTAGCTCCTGGAAAAGAAGACTGACCTAAACTAATATTTGGTCTCTTATACTGAAGGGTTCCTTTTGTCATAACATGAGCATATAAGCTACCCTGCTTGACAAAAATGAATCTGTAAGACATGATTATATAGCTTTCCTTAAACCTTTCGTCTGCCCTGTATAGTTCATAAACACCAACTAAATAGAATGCTCAACATACTTTTTAATCAGATTATAGTTACTCAATACTAATAATCAAATTCAGGAGATATTAAACACCTATTAGTTAAGAAGAAGTTAAAATGTTCAAAACAATCACATATTTTACCTTTACCCAATAGAGCCCTGGGAAAAATCAGACCACCTGCTTCTCATGATAGCTAAGAAACTAAAATGCTGTAGGGAATGGCATGGCACCACCTAATTGTTCACAACAACTGACAAATATGTCATCCTGAAAATTGAAGTTAGGAGAAGGGAAGCAAGGGTCTGTTCATCCTGCCAGCAGTCCAGCTCCAACTATCATGGGATTCTAAACTCAGGTCCAACATTTGCAGTGGGCATAGTCAGGGAGGAGGAGGACAGGTGGGCAGTGGTAGTGGCAGCGCCTTCACTTCTTCCACATCATTGCCAGACTGCCCTCCATAGGAACAGAAGAAAAAAAACAATGGACCAGACATAGCTCCATCTTGCCCTCTCTGACAGTGACCAGACAGTTACAGTGGTAACTCGGGTTAAGAACTTAATTCGTTCTGGAGGTCTGTTCTTAACCTGAAACTGTTCTTAACCTGAAGCACCACTTTAGCTAATGGGGCCTCCTGCTGCTGCTGCGCCGCCGCTGCACGATTTCTGTTCTCATCCTGAAGTAAAGTTCTTAACCCGAGGTACTATTTCTGGGTTAGCGGAGTCTGTAACCTGAAGCGTATGTAACCTGAAGCATATGTAACCCGAGGTACCACTGTACTTCCAGAGAAGTTCCAGTTGCAAGATGGTGCCATCATTTTGTACAGTTCACTTCCAAAGGCACTTACACTAGCAGTCATCACCACACCTTGCATTCCATATCTTAATTGTGTGTTGTGTGAAAGAACATATTTTTGTCTCTTCTGAATCTATTGTCAATCAGTTTCACTGAATGACTTTGACTAGAGGGAGGAAATGTTTTCAGTTTCACCATGGTAGGCATAATTTCATAAATGTCTATCATGTCTCCACATAATCATTGTTTAAAAATCTCGTTTGTCATTGTGCTGCACGTTCACCAATTTACAGTACAATCCAAATCAAATCTACTCAGAAGCCAGCCCTGCTGAGATCAATGGGACTCACTCTGGCGTACGGCCATTCTTAAAAGCTCTTTAGGAAAAATGAAACATTGATTTCTGTTTCCCTGTTCAATACCTAACAATGTTGCCACTAGAGGGAGACTGGGGCCTTTTTCAAAGGTACAAAGGGCCTATGTTTCTTTTCTCCAGTGAAACGCTGGAACAACAGGAGACCCAAGTACACTAGTCCTGCCCTAAAGAGGACAAATGCTGTTGAACGTGTGTGTGTTTGCTGAGTCTGTTTCCCCACACACATTCTGTGCCTGTGTGTGCAGGATCTTGTCTGTTCCTTTCTTCTGCTCTGTGTGTAGATGGAAGCTGAATGTCTGCCCATCTTTCTGCTGAATGTGTGCATGCACATGAAACGAAATGTGTTGATATGAGAGTATTCACATATGAAATGAGCTCTGGCTGGTATGCAACTCTCAGAAAGGTGGCAAATCCTTAATGTGGCCATCGAGCCAGAAAAAGTTAGCCTTTTTATTCACAGTGACGTTCAAGTCAAGCCTCCTTTTCCCGGTTATATATCTTTAGATTATTTCTAATGTCTAGCCAATGATTCAATTTTATTGCTTATTTCATCAAAGCCTTAAAATAAAAGGCATTCTAACAGTAACTGGGCCCATGATAGACTCCAGAGGAATTCTACTTTTGGATTTTAAGAATCCATTCAGATATTCAGAATAATCCAACCATTCCCTGTTATTTGGAAATTATCTTTCATTCATACAAATATGTAAATGATAAAGAAGTTTAAAGACTCTCTCAAGGCATTTAAAAATGTGTATAAACACCAACAATTGGGAAACATGGGCCTGCGAGCTCTTCAACTGAAGAACAGCCTTTACCAAAGGTGTCACGGATTTTGAAGATGCCCATCTCAGGACAAAAGGGAGAATTGTGCTAAGAGGAAGGCACACTTGGCAAACCCTCACCATGATCAACTCCCATCCAGAAACCTATGTCCCAACTGTGGAAGGACGTGCACATCCTGAATTGGCCTTCACAGTCACTTACGGACTCACTGTTAAGACTGTGTTCATGGAAGACAATCTTACTCGGCTACGAGTGATTGCCAAAGAAGAAGAAATATGTTTTGCTTGATGTTTTTCTTCCTATAAGCATTTCACTCCTCCACATTTGCCATGGGCATTAGTAATGCCAGCTGGCCTCATGAAAATAGCAAATGTAGTCTTCTTTGTGGCTTTAATCCAATGTTTTCCATTTTATATAATCTTGGGTTATAAATTAAGGAAATTATCCCCAAACCAAATACACAAAACAGCAAACCAAAATTAGTTGAACCCAACCCAATATGCCATTCTAAGGATATGACAACTGAGAACATAAAAAGCTCATCAACTAATGTCTATAAAAACAAGTAAAAGAATAAAACTTGCCAAGTATAAAACTAAGAAATTGTATTTGTTGTCAAAGCTTTCCTTTAAAAAATACTGTAACTTAAAATTAACCAGCTAATTTTATTTCCAAAATCAAAAGATAATTTATAAATGCTAAGCATATCGGAGAACACTTTTTCTCCCTTTTGCACTTTCTTCTTCTGTGGGTCATGGTCTTATGATTATTTAAATTCACGAGCAATCCTTGGTTGATAAGGCACTGCAGTGCTGCAGGCTACAATCCTCACACAATGCCTAAAGGGTTATTACAATGGAGAAATTCTATTGAGAACAACAAAAGAAACTTACCCCTTCCCGAAGGCACCTCATTAGCACAGTGTAAGCAGCTGAAGGAAGGGCCCAGCATTCTCTGGGGTGCTCCTTTTTCCCTTCCTGTAAATGATGTGGAAGGGCCAGAAATGAAGTGAACAGTATAAATTATGTTAAATCTTTATGGGGGAAAATGCAATTTTATACGCACACATTCTCTATGAACCTGTCCGTTTTTAAATGATGCCTCTTATGTCACTGCATACATATAAGGAACTGGTTTTGCTAAATATGTTAACTTTAGTCACAAATTAACAACAGTTCTGCCAGCCTTTTAAATCAATGGCATATTTATTTTCAGATCAGTCACATGTAGGTAGAAGAAGCTCCTGGACCATTTTTATATTTTTTTTAACTTTGAGCATCTGAATAGACAGGTTAATATCTTAATATTTCCCGCTGCCCTACCCCAAGGCAATTACTTGTATCTCTTTTTCAGTTTGCAAAGACTATGCAAGGGAGATCAGAGTTCTAAAGGATTCAACAACAACAGAAAGAAACAAGACAGTTGTGAGAGCTTCATTAACTATGAATTCTGAAATCAATCACTGGACCTTTGAGGCAATTCATAAACTTATCTAGAAGATACAATATAATGTTTCATTCCCTGTGTGCAAGGAGCCTAAAGCTCTAGTTGAGGTTCTCCACTCTGCATCCCAAGGTTCCTCAAAGGGCTTGGGGAAGGGAACAGAGGCAGGCTTAGCTATTGCTGCATGAAAAGCTTTGGTTACTTCCAAGGGATTCAGTGGGGGCTGTCTCTTCCTTTGGCAATCGCAGCACCCAACAAGCCTTTTTAATAAAGGCATAAAAACCTTAGCAGAGAACACCCTAGGTTGGTTCTTAACCTCAGTCACTTCCTCTTCTTGTCTGGGTTCGACTGGGAAGACAGTTCCCTAGAGGCCTCCCACTAAGCCCCAGTGGCACCCTGAGGCTTGGGGGGATTAGGTGTGACCTCTCCTGTGGAACTACTGCCTGAGTGGGAGGAACAGACGTCTTAGCCTGTTTGGGTGGCAAGGGAGGGCCATCCAGAAAAGGCACCTAAGACCCCGGGTGTGAGAGGAAAGAGGGTGAGCATCCAGCTTTATCTGGTGAATAGCCCCTCTTTTCCCTATGCCTGCATGTGGACCGCTTATGCTTGAATTTACTCTTATGGTGATGAAGCAAGCTGGTCCGGGTGTAAAAAACTCCTGAGGGAATCATTAATATCTGAAGAGATAACCCCCTTTGTCCATTAAGGCAATGTTGGGAAATTTGCTGAAGTAAGGAAGGCCTCATACTCATCTCGGCCTGTTCCAGTGAATAACCTGGAGAATCACCAAAGGCCACTTTGCCTGGGATCTCCAAATGTATAGGCCTCCTCCGTTGGGAGGAGAGAGGCTGTCCTGCCAGAGTGGCTGGGGAAACTCAGCCAGATGGGAGGGGTATAAATAATAAGTTATTATTATTATAAGGCGAAGTCATCCTGCATGCAAAGGCAGAAAATCAATGCGACTGAGCACACTGCTCCCGCTGCTCCAACTCCTAATTGGTGCTGGGACCCGAAGGTGCAGCAATAATGCAGCCAATCAAGGCAGGGAGAGACCACAGAGAACATGAAAGCCACTAGACCAACAGGTGCAGCGATCACCTCTCTAGGAGCTGTTGGGGCCTCCTGAAGAAACGCTGAGTTGTTGAAACAAAATGACGTTCCTGCCTTTTTCAAAAAAGGGCAGTAAATGCAAGCTCCTCTTCCCTTCCCCAGACAACCGGGGGTGGGGGAGAGAAAAATGAAGAGAATGAAGTAGAAATGAAGATGTTTGTGGGGGAGCAGCCAACAGGAAAGCACAGTGAAAAAACTCAGAAAGATGATCTAGCAAACCGGATGAAGGTGAGGACTAGATAAAGGGAAAATCTACACAAAACAAGAACTCAAGCAAATGGTTCTCTCCACACAAAGAGAGAGACATGAAGACCCAACCATCCCTTGCAGTAGGCAGGGTTGGAATGACTACTCCACTCTGGAGAGGATGTTTCAAGTTGAAGACTCTGCCTGTGTCTAGTAGGGGGAGTCATTCCTATCAGGAATGGCATCCCCCTCCATCTGGTAAATCTTACCTTCTCCATCTGTCTCTCAACTAATTCACAGTCTTCTATCTACTTCCAACTTCCAACTACTTACATCTATAATATGCAGCTGGAAGCCAAAAATGAAATATTTTGGTCCTACTTTGGTGCTAGGTTCCTGAACAACCACAGCAAAGTCACATGATAAATTTTACACCAGGTTTACATTTCCTCAAAAGCATGAGCTGCACATATATTGATTGCAATGGTGTAGAAAACAGAATACGTTCAATAGAGCACTGGAAGTGGAAAATCTGAGACTTAATGGTGCTGAATGAAACAATACCATATAAACAAATATGGGATGGAAGAATCTATTTAACATAAGTATTTCAGAAAAAATGGTTCCTTTTATTCTTTACTGAAATACAACAGAATATGTTAGCAGGTCATGTTGGATACTGTAAGAAGATGAATCAAATGTATTTTTGCTGTAACTGTAATTCTATAGATTTAAATTTTAAAAATCAGACAAAAAACATGATCTTCCTAAAACATATTTAGGAATATGTATGCCATAGCCATACCTCTTTAAGAATGAGCACACTTTCATGATCATCTACAGACCATAACTTGCATAATGGATTAGGCAGTTTGTGAAGGTGACTACGGACTTTAACACAACTGCTGTACAAATAATTAGATGGTTTTTCCTATGCTCTTAAAAGCTTGGACAAAAGATGAACCAAACTGTTTGATAAATATTTTCTATTTCTATATTTCACTGTATTTTATTTCAGTTATAGAAACAAAGCTACAGAGGTGAGCAACCTCTCAGTTTTTAGAGCATAATGGAAGTATGCTCAAAATGTAAATGCAGTTATCTTATGTTCATATGACTGCTTCATTTTTATTCAGGCTTAATGCCCTCAGCCAGTGACCTTAGGAACTGACTAGAAAACTAATATAGGAACTTCTAGAAATGACAGTTAACAGATATGTCCCCTGGGGAACCAGACACCACGTCTCTTTAGGCTTTACTTCCATTCTGAAGCCATCTAAGAGAAAACAATTTATATTATAATCAGGAACTAAAAACCCATGCATCTCTACTGATAACTATTATCTGGCTCTATAAATAAACACTCCCTCTTGTTCTACAATTGTAAGAAAATAAAAGGGAGAGGCAACTTAAGTATACATGGAGGGAATACCGAATCAAAATTATTTTAAGACCCACCACCACATTTGGACATAAACTTAACAGCTTTATGACAGGGAAAAGAATGTCTTCCTAAGACAGATAATTTATGACATCCTAGCTAGCATTCGGCCTTAGGTGTACTGTACTAGAATCTAGATGAGGAAAGTTACCTGGGGTAAATTTTGTTATCCTTCTTAACTTCACAGTAATTTAGTGAAATCGAATGTCATACAAACAGGACTCTGCTCATGCAATGAGATTTATCTTTCCCTTGTGTGTCCCCATATCTGTTCTGGAGGGAGTCACCAACCCTTAAGATAAATGTTGATGGCACATTTGGGGTTGAAGGGGGAAAATGAGAGAAAGAGGAAGTCTACTCCACTTGCACACAGATAACTGCACCCACTGTCTTTGGTTCCTTCTCTCTTTTCTCAAGACCTTTGTCCTTCTTGTCTTACAAAACACTCATTTTTTCCCAGTCTCTTCTCTGCCCAGCTCACATTTAACACAGCGGAGTTTACTTCTGAGTAAACATGCATAGCACTGCACTGTAAGGGCAGTCAAATTAGTAAGTTAATTATTATATGAATACAATGTTCAATGTAAAAATTACCCAAACCACAAGGAATCTGTATTCATACCATAATTTAAAGACTCCATGTAAATACTTCCAAATGGGTCCTGGCTCTCAAGGAAAACTTTTGAATGACTCAACAGCAGTACTGTATAAGGAATATTAATTAATTAAGTAATTTAATTGGTCTAGCCATATTAACTGTGACTAATTTCCACTCTCCTTCACCCACCTCCTGTCTGGAAACTGGTAACAAGTATACCCCAGCACTTTAGGATAAGAAGTAACTTTCTGGAAATTTTAGGGAAAGGCGTAAAACTCTCTTACAAGAGGCTACAAGCAGTGACTGCTTTAGGTGTGTCCAATTTGTGAGTGACTACACACATCATTCTGAACCTGGAAAGGGCCTGAAAATCTCACAAAAAGAGACGGAACAGGAATGGGGTGGAGGTGGAACAGGGTGTTTGCAGGTTTTTCAATGGTGTTTCAAATATATGTGATTTCACTTAAAACACACAGTGCCTTGGAACGCAACTCCCTGCATAAATAGGGAGTTGCCTGTAATTCAAACCTTTACGAAACCAAATCCTGTAACATTTCAAAGGAATACAGCCTAAAAAGTCAGAACAGTCATCTTTCTATATAGCATTTTTAATAGGATAGTTCATAAATTCTACTTTTAAGAATGGGCTTAAAAGCCCATTTATAGGTGCTTTAAGAATAGAACATGTACAATTTTGGTTACATTCTCTGTTTGCTCTAAAATGTGGGTTTTTAACTCTATTTTTTGTATTTGCCATATTTATAGGATGCTGAAAATCACTATAAAAAGGCTAGCTGTTAAAATTAATTTTAAGACGCATCAAGATGAAACTTTTGAAATATGCAAGGCAAACTTAAAAACAGGCAAATGAAGGAAGCGGTTGTTTTAGACACGTCTGATATGTGTGCAACCACACACACGTGCATCACACCGAATCTGGAAGTGACCAAGTGTCACAAAAAGGTGCAGAATTGGATTGGCCAAACAAAGTGTTTGCACGCTTTCTCAAAGGATGCTCTGATTATACACGATTTCATGCAAGCGCGTAATGACTCAGAACCCAACTCCCACACAAATGTCTGTATCTTAAAATTAGCATATTTTGCTTATCTCCTATAAACTGAAGAACAAGCTATACTTCCAAGAGTTCTATTATCTCTATTTATTTCCAGCTGCTCACTTGTTTGTTTACTTTTGCAAATGTAAGATATTTTTATACAACTGTTTAATTTACCTGGTTGGCCACAAGATAAAGCAGTTCTCCAAGGGTAGGTAAAAGGCACTGTTTCAGTTTGCTGTTCCTGAAATTTTCTCTGATCAGTTCGGTTAAGAGTGTGACTGCCTGGAACAATGAATACGTTATTAGCACAAATGGGATACAGCAGGGAAAAGCATGATAACTATGCAACTATGCAACTTTACAAGAAGGAAAGTAAAGGCTACAGAAGGCAAAATAAATTTTCTCTGGTAGTTTCTGAATGCCTTTCTGCAGAGGCGCAGATTGTCACAGCCAGTGCTTTTTTCTTGGGGGGACACAAGAGAACGCATACCCCTAAACATTTTGTGAATCTAACGGGAGAAGAAACTAAAAAAAATAAGTATAAATAAGTTTTAGGGTTTTAATGGTAAGATAAGGTCAAAATAAATTAAGATAATTAAATGACAGAAAACATTGAAAGATGGAAAGGATTTGCTGAAATAATTAATAACTAGAACACAAAAAGGGAGGTGTGAGGAGGTCGATGAAACAAGTTAATGAAAGATAAAGATATGGAAATATTGGATGTGTTTTTAACTGTTTTTGCTTTTGCTTTTGTTTTGATGTATTGTGTCTTTTGCTTTTTTATATGTATTGTAATGTGTTGATTTGTGTTGTTTATTTTTTCTCTTTATTTCTTTCTTTAATTTGTAAACTTTTAATAAATATTATTTTAAAAAAAGAAACTAAAAAAAATAAAATTTTTAGTTTCTTCTCTAGCACGGTGAATTGTCAGTTCCATTGCTACCCCTGATGGCGGCCTCATTTCCTGTCACGTTGTTTCCCGAGTCTCAGACGGAAGCGAGTGTTTAATATGTAAAGTAGGAGTTGGAATCTAGCATGGTGATTGGTCAGTTTCGTTGTTACTGTTGGTTTGCAAGCCCCCTCCATAGAGGCTGGCCCCTCTCACTGTCCTTAGTTCCGTTGCTAAGCGACAGGTCATGAGTATTTTTTTGAGCTAAATTTATGAGCTGGTTAGCTTAAAGCAAAGAGAGAAAAGAAGCTTCAGAAATGAAAGCAAGGCTGAGTGTTTTTCAGTGAAGCTTGTTGTAAACAAACTGTTGGAAAGGGGACTTTCCAAAGCAGAGTGCAGCTTGCTGATTGCTGTTGGATTGCAGCGAAGGCTTGTTGTTTGCAGATTCTCGGGAAGGGAAAATTCCAGGCGGCTGGGCTGACTGCCAAGTGCAAGCAGCTTGTAAACAGCCCAATAGACTCTTGGATTTTCCAGTTTGTAGCTGAAGCTGCAGCTTGGATTAAAGATGGCTCTGTTCTCTCAGAAACTGAATAGCCAAAACTGGCTAGAATGGTCATTTGAAATGGAATTTTTGCTGGTGGGACAGCAATTATGGGACTTAGTCCAAACACCACAGCCTGTTGCTGTACAAGCACAGGGGGAGAAGGCTGCAGTTCAAAGTGAATTGAAGCAGCGTGTCCTAAGAATTTTGGCAGAAAATGTGGACGCTCATCTTGCGCCAGTCCTAAAGGGTGCACAAGAACCAAAGGTCGCTTGGGAGTTACTCCGCAAAGCTTGTGAAGCTGGGGTGGGAAGCAAGGACCGAGAATTGGTTGCGCCAAAGGGGGAGAGCCAAGATGAAGCTAGCCAAATTCTTGAGAGCTCATCGAAAGCTGGGAGGAGCTTTGAGCCACAACAGGGAAGTGGAGAGACTGTTGCTGCTGATGCTGTTGCTGATGGAGGGAGTGAAGCTCGGGAATCAAGCACCCCCACTACAATTGCTACGGAGGAGAAAGCTGTAGCTCAGAACGCTGTTCGTCAGAAGACACCACATCAGGAGAAAGGAGCTAGAGGGAGCTCTGTAAAGCCTGAGGCTTCAAGCAAAGGTCGTACCCAGTCCCAGGCAAAACCAGATATGGCTTTGATGTCACTAAAAGCCACGTCATCCGTGGATAACTCATTTATTGTAGACACAGGAGCGACACAACACATGACGTCACGCCGGGAACTGTTTTCTACATTTGAGAAGCAACGCTTCACTGTGAAACTGGCCAATGGTCAGGAAATGCAAGCAACCAGGATCGGAACTGTGTATCTAGAAAGCCTGAACTTGACTATAAACAATGTTTATTTTGTTCCAGGTTTAAAGTACAATCTGTTGAGTGTATCTCAAATCACTAAGAAGAAACTGGTGTTATCGTATGATGAGGAAAGCTGCAAAATCTACAAAGATGGAGAGCTGTATCTTTCTGCCAGAGAGAAAGACGGACTATATCTGTTGACTTTTGATGAAAGAGACTATAAAATGTGTACAGCATGTGAATCTAAAATGCTTTCTCTTGCAGGTATCTCGAAAGAAGACACGAGAGGAAAGGCAACAAAGATTAACAAAGATTTTCAGCGAGTGTATGCTGATGTAATTGGTCCTTTAGCACCTTCTAGAGGCAATGCAAAATACTATCTTGTATTTGTTGATCATTTTTCTCAATATGAATGGATGCAGAATCCCAGAGAATATGTTGCAGAATCCCAGAGAAACCTTAGAAAGGTTTAAGGAGTTTTGTGATAAGGTTAAGAATATTCATGATGCTAATATTGATTTTCTTTTCACAGATGAGAAGCCAATTTTTCTTTCACAGGATTTTCAGGATTTCCTTGAGAAGCAAGGGATAGAGCACAAGGTTGCTGTTTCAGAGGCTGCGTGGAACAAAACTGTTTGTGTAAAAGTGAACAAGGAGTTGCAAAATGGCATGAAGGCACAATTGCTGAGTTCACACTTGCCACATGAGTTTTCGGCTGAATCTTTATCATGTTTTTGTTACACGTGGGTGAGAAAGGTTTCAAAGGGCATGGAATGTTCTCCTTTTGAGAAGCTATTCCAAAGAAAATCTTCTCTAGCACATTTTAGGGTTTTTGGATCTCAATTCAGGACAGAAACTCCAGATGGGGTGAAGAATGCCAGAGGCATTTTTGTGGGTTATGAAAAGGGTCTCTACAGAGTAATTTTGTCTGAATCTAGTCAGGTGATTCTCACAAAATTTCTAGAGAGTGCTCCTGCACAGGAGAATGTAATTTTTCACACATTTCCCACTGCTGATGATTCAGATGATGAATTTGATTATTCTGATTATAGTGGTACTGAAAGTGACACAGAAAGCTCAGAGAGTTCTGTTGACACAGTTATTGAGAAAGGTTCACACACGATGACTAGATCTTCACAGATTAAGGATGAACCACTGTTTACTATTGGAACTGGTTCTTCAAAAGGTCCTGAGACTGAACCAGTGAGCAGAGAGGATCAGCACCTCATACGTAGGTCTGAGAGAATAACAAAGGGCGTACCACCCAAGAGGTATTCTCAAGAGTTTGCTAGTTCAGCTGTTGCATGTATTACTATTGTTGACAACTCAAGCCAGGTTAAGGGTATGTCTAAGTCAGAGACAAAGACACAACAGGGAGTTGCTAAACGTAACACTATGTTCCCTAACCAAGGTAATGCAGATGCACTCATTCCTTGGAAAACTGACAACCAGAGAGTTACATTGGTGAAACCAGTGGCGGGTAGTTCCAAGGGTGGAACTGAAACAACAGGGGATTGTTATATGTATAACAACTGTTTGTTTTCTTCTCTGGATCAAGCTTTGTCCGCAGCTAACGATGATTCATATGGGGGAGGATGTCAGTATATGGAAACATCACCGCTGCAGACACACAGATTGTTGACATCAAATGATGTGCCTATCTGTTGGAAAGAAGAATTTCCCAGGACGTTCACAGGCTGGATAAGTCTCTGTGAAGAGTGTAATCTGAAACCTTCCATTTGCGCATGTTCAGGAAGTTTGTCAGACTTGCTAGAAGAACTGAACTGAAAGGACGTGTTTTTCTCTAGTGCTGTAATGTCAGAAATAAACATCATGTAAATAGATTTCTGACTTATTTTCTTTCCCCTGAGGAAGCAGGAGGGAGGAGTTGTGCATTTTACCCACTCTTGGGAAAATGTCGCCTATCATAATCTCCCTGGTCTGTCTGGATATCAGCCAGAGGAGGTTACCGGTAAGCAAGCTCCGAGGACAGTGAGAGGGGCCAGCCTCTATGGAGGGGGCTTGCAAATCAACAGTTACCACCTCCAATGCCAGCTTCATTTTCTTTCCCGGCGATTTTCAGGAGTCAAAATGAGAGTACCCCTAAACATTTTTTTTTAAAGGAAAAAAAGCACTGGTCATATCTGTTCAAAGACATGTAAAGAACCAGCTGCTCCCCTACTATATCCAAGTCAATAAGATTTTTATAAATTTGACATAAGAGACCTTTAGAATGATTACTGGATATTAAACTCTGTGCATCCTCTTAAGGTTGCATAATTTCTTATGACTACTTTAGAATTCTCCTAAAAAAATATGGTAACCCTAATTTATTATCACTGTATATACCCTCCTCTCAGTATTGTATATTACCCAGTGAATCTAACTTTATTATTTAAAAATGTGAATTCTCTGCCTGGGTAGAATTTCTATTTTTGAAATGAATGCTCTCATATTATTTCTTTTATTAAAATTTCCTCTGTTTTCACACAAATTTCAAAGAATGGCAAAATGGTTCTGTGTTTCAGATGAAAAAGGAAAAGATCTGAAGTCATAGCTCATATACTTTATAAACCAACCAAGGCTGGGATGTTAGATTTTCAAAAACATTAAAACTTATGACAGTATGAAATTATTGTTTACTCATAATAAGAAACTAATTGAAGAACAGTTTGGAACATGAACTGGTTTTTTAAAAAAAGAAAAGAAAAAAGCCAACCTATTACAGATTAAATATGGAATGGTTTGAAGGAAGGCAGGTTCAAGAACTCTCTTATAATCACACAGAAGGCACAGGGTGAGAGAGTGCAAATTTGACTACACCTCACTGTGGGTAAAAGGCACATGCTAAGGTTGTAGGTAATAGGGACCAGTTTATTTTTTAAATCACTTAAATACAGGCCAAATGCAATCCCAATTGTAAAATGCTACAACATTATTTGGGAAATGGCCAATTATTTCAACCAAAATACTCTTGAGTGACTAGAACACCATCTACTATATAGTAAAAACATAATTATATTGTTTAATAGGCATCCCTGCCTAGTGTACATTGAGTCCTCAAATTAAAAATAGGATTCCCTCTTCACCACCCTTGTATTTAATTTCAATATCCAAGTGACCTCTAGTGGAGGTTTCTATAACAATACACTGATCTGTTGAATACCTTTAAAATTACTGAACAGAGATCATGATAGAAACATTAGACCCTTGTGACATATACCCATGGCCCATCCTCTTTCCATCCCCTCTTCTGGTGTCGGCACACAGCTTTCACAAATCCCAGAAATGAATTTTATCTAAGCCATCAAGTTTATTGTTGATGTGGCTATCAACCTTTATAAGATTTTAGTTGTGAAGAACTTAGAAAAGAAATAATATTCTAAACAATTTCATTCAGTTTTCAATCCCTTCCTTAGAATATTAAAATGTTCAGTTCTGTATCTCAGTACCTTTGCCAACATTAGAAATGAGAGAAGCATAATATTCATATTCAAAAGTTAATTTCAGATGGTTTAACCAAGGCCAAAACTAAAAGATCCCCAAATACTAAGATTTTCTTAGGACATTTTGTAACTGATTATTAATCACAAAACAAATCTGATCAAACCCCACAAATTACAATTATTGCTATTGTTACTGATTTATTACCCATCCTTCACCATGAAGTCTCAGGGCTATTATTACCCCTCTTCTATCATCCATACCAGGTTCTTCATCCACTGCTACAGTGTTCTTCCTTCTTGCAGACCAAGATTACCAGGTGAAGCAAACATGGCAGAAATTTTAGCTGGGGCAATTAGAATTAGCTCTACTACCTGACTAATCTGTTTAATGCCTAGTAAAGAAAGACCACTTGTTCATATGTTTTAGTTGTGGTCAAGGACAGTTATTAACTCTTTTATTTGTATGGTTGTAAATTTTGTATAGCCAACCATCTAGCTATATCTGTATTTTATTGCATATTTTATTGCATTTGATTCCTTTGCTATGGCTTCTGGCTGACGCAAATAAAGATTTTATCTATCTGTCCCAGGGCACGTCATAACAATGTAAAATGCAACAGTAAAAACAGTTTAATACAAACTACAATCACAAATGTGCTAAGTGTAGACCAGGTTGCAGCCTTGCCACCTTCCTCCAAAGGTGTGTTTGTAGAGTGAGCAGAGGAAGTAGTATGCCTTAATGGAACAAACTATGAAACACATAGGTACCAGTAACTTTTGCAACTCATAAACCAAGGCAATAAAATGCCCAAACATTGCTTTTGAAAACTCCAATAATTGTATTAGCAAGGAATATTACCTCTATAACGGGAACAGTCTCTTTAAGCTCAGTTGTATGCAATGCCAGTAAACCAATCACTCGAGCTGCTTTGGCACGTCTGTAATTAAATGCATTTATTAACTTTATGAAAGCCACAAATCTGAAAATGCTAAACTATGAAAATGCTCAACTTACATAAAATGTAATATAAGTTAGTCATCACAATTAAATTAAATTAAGCTTAAATATAAGCCTCCTTAGCACTGAATTGCTTTAAACTGATAGAATTACTACAAAAACTTTTAAGCACAGGAAAAAGCCTGGGAACTTTTAAGCCTGGGAAGACTAAGCATTGCACTTAATTCTTTCAGATGAAAAATGGAATGAATGTTGGAAAAATGCTAACCAAGAAGGCTGGTTGCAGATAATTTTTGCTGTGCAAATCTGTCGCCTGCACCTTAACACAAAAAAGGGAATAATTTACAGAAAGTAATATGTGCTTCATTAAGTGCATACATGTGTGAATACAGAAAAGCCATCTAACTATCTGCCTTGCTTCTATTTTCCTGTTTAAAAATGTCCAACTTATTTTTCACTCACAGTGGTGATGGGGATATACAAGGATCTTACTTGTGGAGTGGGGGTGAGAAGAGTAATGCAATACAGCTATTTGCAAAAGTAGCCAGCAGAGGGCATTATGATAGAACACTTGAGGTTCACTTACACTGTTTTATAAAATTACAGAAAAGCAGCCGGCAAAGGAGAATGAACAGTGAATAGAGAAGGCTATGCAGCAGACAGGAATTTCAATGCACATTCAAGAACATTACTATCAGATTTCAATATATTCTAATATTCTCTTTCCACATAAACATACCGGTATTTAACAAATTTGGGAAAATAAATCTGTTTGAATCAACAATTATTTTGTAGAAATTATTCAATAAATAACAGCCCTTGTATCTGACAGGTGGGTATAGCTGAATGATTCTTTTGGGGTAAGAGTTTCTTCCCCTCTCCAAAACCCTGCCTCTAGCCCTCCTTATTGCTTCGCACTAAGAACGAGAAGTTACATAACATTACAAAATTATGTCAGCATCAGACTTTGAGATAGAGCTTGTTCATGCTGCAGCTGCTGGCAGGTTTCTCTTAACATATCTGGAAGCACAAGCACTCCTTTGCCTGCAGTCCAAAACTGTACAGCCTAGCAAAAGTTACCCCATGTATTCTGTTGCAGTTGTGGGCCAGCACCACATTTTGTAGTGAATTCTACAAACATGTAGCACGAAGAAGTGCTTCCTTTGTTCTCTTTCTGAATTACTTCCAGTTTTATTTCTCTCTGTCCCAATTCTAGCAATTCTAACGGTCAGTGCAGGCAGGAAGAGTGTTACCAGGAAAGTGGCTCTATGAGCGCTGGCCTCCAGTCACACCACCATTCCTGTCACTCTCAAGCATGATAGATAGAATATAGATATATATAAATATAGAGAGAGAGATATATAATGTAAACCCTAACAGTATTTTAAGTACTTTAATGAACAAATATAGCATATCTCCTTTCCTGTTACTTAGACATTTAAAATTCAATAATGAAGATTAGCAAGTCAAACAATCCTTGACTCTTTAAAATCAGAGCTTTCCACACTGTGTTTCACAACACGTTAGTGTGTTGGCTGCAGTGTGTAGGTGTGTCGCACAAATGCTCCCTGCTCTTCTCCCGGGGCTGGAAAAGGGTTAGTTTAACCTCTAGTTTGCTAGTAAAACTGAATTACTGTACTGTGTCATGAAATGATGAATGTCTAAAAACTGTGTCACCAACATGAAAGTTTGGAAAGCTCTGCCTTAAAATATTTGTATTTTAATGGTAGATATGGCAAATATTCAAGTACCCTGGATAAGTGAAGGAGCATCTCCACCCCCATCGTTCAGCCCGGACACTGAGGTCCAGCTCCGAGGGCCTTCTGGCAGTTGCCTCATTGCAAGATGTGAGGTGACAGGGAACCAGGCAGAGGGTCTCCTTGGTAGTTGCACCTGCCCTGTGGAATGCCCTCCTGTCAGATGTCAAGGAAATGAAAAACTATCTGACTTTTAGAAGACATCTGAAGGCAGCCCTGTATAGGGAAGTTTTTAATGTTTGATGTTTTAATTTGTTGGAAGCCATCCAGAGTGGCTGGGGCAACCCAATCAAATGTTTGGCATATAATTAACAAAATAATAGTAATAATATACTACAGAGAGTGCATTTCAGAAAGCACTGCTGCCGTAATCTTCACTAATTTCAATTAGACATGCGTTAGTTGAACTGTTTTGCTTTAAATAAGCTTTACGAGTTTCTCTTTCATAGTAAACACTTGCAAAGTACTAACTGTCAAGGTATACACACAGCCTTCTAAAATTCTGAAGAACCACAAAAAGCAGACACAACGCTGCCTTTTGTATTCAAAGGCAGTGCTGAGAGAGGTAAACTATCAGGCCACTGTCTCCAGCTGGGGACTGAGAAACTTACCACAAAGTTAAATAGATATGAAGAGCGATTCAGAGAACCTGTCAAGTAAGGCCACTGTAAACCAGCCTACACATATTCGTTTGTTAACCCACTGTTTCTCAGTAAGTAAATGAGCCCTTCCTGGACTCTTCTCAATCAACAATCAGCCTACCACTGCTAGATTGTATCATGGAAGATACTATTTCTGCTCCAGACAATAACAGACCACATGCAGGAGCCAAGGCCCAGGTTCTTGTATGACAGGGTTGGTAGCAGCCCTTGCTTTGGTAGCAAGCCTACTCTATTCAGAGACCAGAATGAAGGAAATGTATATGCCTTTCCTTGATCCTTTGCATGGTGTGTGGTTTGCTCTCCTGCATGAACTCAGCAGAGGCAGGTTTGTGGCCAATTTTTGAAGATACCCAGACAGATGCTGGTTGTCACTTACATGTCCCAGTTTGGAGCTATCCGCAACTGTTGTAGTAGCACAGGGAACTAGATTTTAAAATAAACACACACAAAAATTCAAAATTAATCACTGTGATTTAGTTCACCACCAAAAAGTATAGCATATTTAGGGTTAATAGTTTTAGCTACAGAGCGCAAAGACCTTGCAAAAAATGACTGGTTTTTTATTTGTTATGGGACTCAATTTTCTATTGCACCTTTGTTGTTGTATATATTGCAGAAGGTTAGTGTGGCAATCACACAGGGTCCCCGGACGTTTGATCCCTGTGCCACCACTGTGGTTGCTTCCCCGCTGCCACCAACCAGTTACTCTCTGGTAAAACACTGAGTCCAGTCAGTTGTTAAAAGTGAACCAAAAGAAACAAGTTTATTTTACAAACGTTAACAAGTTTATGGTTTCTCAGATAATATTCCTGTCAGTATCTTAACTTTACTTTCTTTACCGGTCTATACCTTCCTAATACCTTCTTACTGATTATCTCAACTGACTGGGGGTTTGACTGACCCCTCTTAACAAATTCTCTCACTCTCTCCCACCAGACTAGCCCAACTCACAGACTTTTCTTATCTGTCTCTTCTAACTCCAGACTGTCTTCTCAACAACTCTAACTCCTCCCAAAAAAACCTCTGTGCTTCAACCTTATACACAGTTAATTCTGCCCCCTGGGTTCCCATTTTACATTTAGTTAACCCTTTCCCTATGAACCCAGTATGATGTCACACACATGAGGGCAAACGCCACATACCTCCCCCCTTAAGAAAATTGACTCAGGAGGGATACCTTAACCTAGTTATTCTCCTGATCAATCAGCATTACATATCTAATGCAAATAAACATTTACTAACCTGTTATTATACCCTTCACACCCCATATAACATTGGCACATCAATTACTTTGTTCATACATTTATACATAAATCCTGATACATCTTAGGTATTCAGTTAACTACAGAAAAATTATAACTGTGCACTGGTTAACCTTCAGCAGCAGGTCTTCTTGATAAGGCATCTGCAACGGTGTTCAGGGACCCTTTCAGGTTTTTAACTGTAAAATTAAAGTCTTGCAGCAATAGGGCCCACCTCATCAACTTACTGTTATTCTTCATTGTTCTCAGCCACAGCAAGGGTGAATGGTCAGTACATAAGATAAAAGTTCGGGCCCAGATGTACGGCTTCAGTTTCTGTAATGCCCACACGATGGCAAGGCATTCCTTCTTGATGGTCGAAAAATGTCTTTCCCTCGGAAGTAATTTCTTGATCGGATGCAGGTCGTCCTTCTCTCCCTGTTGACACAGCATGGCCCCGATCCCGGCATTGGATGCATCGGTGAAGATGGTGAACTCCCGATCATAATTAGGAGCAACAAGGACTGGTCCTGATGTCAAGGCACTCTTTAAGGAATCAAAGGCCTGCTGACACGCTGCTGTCCATTTGACCTTATCTGGCTCCTTCTTCCGAGTTAGGTCAGATAAAGGCGCTGCTAACTTACTAAATTTTGGAATAAATTTTCAGTAATAACCGGCTAGTCCTAGGAAAGCTCTGACTTTCTTCTTGGAGGTAGGGGTAGGCCAGTTTGAAATGGCTTCTACCTTCATCTCTAAAGGTTTCATCACTCCTCCTCCCACCATGTGTCCCAGGTATTGTCGAGCCCCCTATCTGGCATTTGCTAGCTTTCATGGTTAAGCCCGCCTCTTTAATTCGCTGCAGTACTAACCCTAAGTGCTCTTTGTGTTTATCCCAGTCGAAATATACACAGCAATATCATCTAAATAAGCGAATTTGAACCCTCTTAATTCGTTCAGGATTTTGTCCACCAGTCGGTGAGAAGTGGCTGGTTCATTCTTTAAGCCAAAGGGCATTACTTTAAACTCAAACAGCCCTAAGGGACTTCTGAACCCAGTTTTCTTCTGGTCCCTAGAGTCCATTTTTACTTGATAGTATCCCTTTGTCAAGTCTAGGCAGGTGATGTAATGACAATGACCTATAGCTTCGATCAGGTCATCTAAATGTGGCATTGGATATGCATCTGCTCTAGTGACATGGTTCAGCTTTCTATAATCCAGGCAAAATCTGATAGATCCATCAGGTTTGTCTAACAACACTATGGGTGCTGCCCAGGGACTTTCTGAAGGGGTTATGATCCCTGCCTTCAACATCTCCCTTACCTCATTGCTAACATTCCGCACATACTCTCCAGTTATCCTATAGGGGTTTACAGCAATGGGCTTGGCATCCCCAGTGTCGATATGATGTACAACTCCCTTAGCTCTACCTGGAGTATTACTGAAAATTTCCCTATATTCTTGTAGGATCTGTTTAACCTCCACCTGCTGATTAAGGGTTAACGTAGGAGCTACCTTTATTTCTTGTAGATTGCCGTTGCTCCCCTCTCCCTTCCCAGCATGTTATATCGGCTTCATCTGGATCCTCACGTATTGCATAGTGTCCAGCCTTCTGTTCCAATATAAGGCTTTAACATGTTCACATGAACCACCTTACGCCCTTCTTCCCCTTGTTGGATTACGTAATTTACATCACTCATTTTGGACACGATTTTGTATGGTCCCTACCATGCTAGTTGCATTTTATTTCCTTGGTTGGTCTCAACAGCAACACTTCACTACTGGGTTCAAAAGTTCTTACTCTGGCCTTTTTGTCATACCAGGTTTTCTGCTTTGTTTGGGCTGCTTTTAAATTTTTCAGACCACAGCGCCACCCACATCCAACCTACACCCCTTACCTCATACTTAAGCCACGATCTAGGAACGCACAGTGATGATGCTCATACAGAGTTTCGCAAAATGACCTTGAATGATTATCCAAATACAGCCAAATTGATGAAATCAGCCATATCACAACATACCAAGAGCTCCATGTGTGCATTAGAAAGGCACACAGTCCTCTTGATTGTGCTCATGCTTTTTAAAAAATTAATGCAGAACAGTGTAAAGTATTTTAGTAATTCTAATCCTTGTTCAACCTATCCATCCCAAATAATCAAAGTCATTTGGCAGCCTGCACACAATCAATGTATACAATGCTTTATCCAGAAGTATGATTAGACGCTTTTGAATTATGGTGCTGGAAAAGACTCTTCAGAGTCCCATGGACTGCAAGAAGATCAAACCTATCCATTCTTAAGGAAATCAGCCCTGAGTGCTCACTGGAAGGACAGATCCTGAAGCTGAGGCTCCAATACTTTGGCCACCTCATGAGAAGAGAAGACTCCCTGGAAAAGACCCTGATGCTGGGAAAGATGGAGGGCACAAGGAGAAGGGGACGACAGAGGACAAGATGGTTGGACAGTGTTCTCGAAGCTACCAACATGAGTTTGACCAAACTACGGGAGGCAGTGGAAGACAGGAGTGCCTGGCGTGCTCTGGTCCATGGAGCCACAAAGAGTCAGACACGACTAACAACAATGATTAGAACGTTAACGTTCTTCATTCTTGTTATGCACTAATTCTTCTTACAGTACAGTCTTAGGCATTTTTAATCAAAAGCAAGTTTCACTGTGTTCAGTGGGGCTCATTCATGGGTATGTGTACATACGATTGCAGCCTTAGTTTCTTAAAATACCAGTGAAATGCACCCTAGCAAAAGGTAGCTGACTTTTGCCATATTTGCTGGCATGTCAGCTTGCGGGCTCTAGCAGTGTTACTTACCAGCTGTGTGCTGATTAACTTAGTGGCTACTTCCTTATTGCCAACAACAGTGCAGAGGTAGCAAAGTAAATTCAGTTTAACTCTGGCTGCCCCTGTGCTCTTCTCTGGGGAGTCAGTCAGCTGACATACTTGGTGTAAGAAGTCATTCCAGTCATCTTCTTTTAGTATCAACAATTTATCAGCTGGAAAGAAAAATAATGTTTTAAGAGCACTTGTTGGGAATATAATTTCCAAGACCCAATACTGAAACATAGTATAGTTCTTTCTCCCTACTTGAACCCCTGAAAAAGCTTGTTGTGAACATACAATGTATGTCCTGACCCGACTGCACTGGCAGCCAGTTAGTTTCTGGGCCCAGTTTAGAGTTTTGACCTATAAAGCCTTAAACAGCTCAGGACCACAATACCTCAAGGACCGCTTTTCCTCAAATGAACCAACCTGCACCCTGTGATCATCTGAGGTCTTTCTTCGTGTGACTTCTTCATGAGAGTTCTGAAAGGTGGCAACACAAGAATAGGCCTTTTCTGCAATGGCTCCCCATCTGTGGAATGCGCTCCCCAGGGCAGTCTGCCAGGCTCCTTCATATATCTCTTTGGGAGCCAGATGGCAATGTTTCTCAAGAACCAGGGCTTTGGTTGATTAAACCATTTACGGCCTTTTAAATGTGTTTGTGGTAGAGGGGGTTATTGGTTTGTGTCTGTTTTCTGTAACGTATTTGGTGTTCTTATTTTGTATTTTTACGTTGTGAAGCACACCCCCCCCCTCATGATCTTCAGATGAAGGGTGGTATGCAAAATAAAGAAACAACAAAAAGAAGATATATTATTATTCCAGACTTGCCTTTAGGCAGGAAGCAAAACAAAGAAAGGATCTGACTTGTCACAAGATCCCCAAAACTTTGGCTCAAATCCACATAGCAGAAAATCTTGACAATGCTTCTAAATAGTACGTAAGGAAGTGCTCCTAAGGAAGAAAGTTAGTATGCTGATAGTGATCTTTTGTTTCTATAAACAGCAGCTTAATATAGTACTAAAAGCATGCTGCAATAGCTGCTGGAGCAGCATCATTGTTTTATAAAACTTAGTGATGGTCAGTAAGAATCTACCCTATAAATGTGTTTTAGACTATGTGCTTTAGGTATAAATATATCACGCAGGACACACCACAGTGTGACTAGGTCACCTGACCCATAATCATTTGAGTAAAGCATAAAATAGAGGTATAAGTGACTTAGGTTGCAATTGTATTAGAAACAGAAATAAGTCCAACAAAACTCAATAGAACTTCCTTCTACCTAGGCATATATAAAATTACCTTATTTTTCTGTGTATAAGACTAGGGTTTTTCCTAAAAAATAATGTCCAAAATTGGGGGGGGGGGGTCTTATACACGGATAGATCTCCCTCCCCATTTTCTTAAACCGGAGTCCCCCAAAATAGGGGATGTCTTATACATGGGGTGTCTTATAGACGTAAAAATACGGTACATTGTGAAAAAACTACTTTTTTTGCTAGCTTATATTGAATTGGATTATTACTCTGGTCCTGTTACACTGTTCCTTGTGAGCCAAAAATACAGCATGCCAAACATGGTCTGCAATGACACATACAGCTGTGATCTCAAAACTATGTTCAACATAATTTAAAATGACAATTATAGCAGCTGTCCCTTCTTGCTTGGGCATGCATCCTATATATCAACATTTGTGAGAGTTGGGAGTAGATGCAAAACACAGAGACATGAGAACAACAGTGTTAAATGAATGCTAAGACATTTTTGAGTATTAAAGAATAATATTTTCTTGTAAATGGCAAGTTGCCTATAATTACTTTAGCAAACTGTACCTGAATGTGCTGGTACGTGTAAAGTTTTCACATCAAATCTCACTGGTGGTTGCTTCACTATCTGAGAAAAAAAATGTTTGACTTGAGGCAATTCTGAATATCTCATAGACCAAGGGTACACTATGCACCTCTCCTCAAATAAAACACTTTCTACCATAATAAACAATGAGCTGTCAATATTTCAGCTATAAATAAACAAACTTTATGACCAGTAGGAAGTCACTGAACAAGCTACAAAAGGAAGCAGACTGATTTCCAAAACACTTCCTCAAAATGGAGAAACTCCTCAGTGAAGCCAATTCCAGTGGAGTTCCCTGTTGGTGTTAATAGCTCAATGGCACTGACAGGGAAGCCAACAGGCAAAGAACAACTGGGAGAAAACATGAAGTTCTCAATTATTCCTTTGTAGCCAAATCCATACCTGCCCCACACCTGACATCATATATGGCAACGGGTGGGATTGATTTCCCCGGAATGGTCTCATAGGCCAAACTGGAACCTGTGCCAGATTTAATTAGGTTCTCCACAGTGGGTATAACCGAAATAATACAGTTAATGTGAACAAAGTATAGTTAACTTTTTCCAAAGCAAGTTAATTTTCAGGGAGGCCCATATTTTGAGTTTACCTCCAGCACTGATCTGTGGCTTTTTTTTTGGTATACAGTATTCTTAACAAGCTATCTAGAGTCAATACCACTTATATATTGTAATGATTCTCACCTATGTTTTGACAGATTGTTTTAGCTAGACCTTTTGTGAATATGCAATGCCATATCTGATCCAATATATCTGAACTTGTCATTTTGCCCAAGGCTATTTTAAAACCTAATTACCACAAACGAAAACATCATTCTTGATTCTAGGTGCTTTGACTTATTCAGTTATCTTTTATTTCCTAGCTCTAATCCACAGCAGCACGGCAGCAACAGACAACCACCAAAACTTAACAGTAAATGGAAAAGGTTTTTCAAACGTATCTTGTTAACGAAAATAAAATGAGTATGTTTTTCCATATTTGACCATCTTCTGTTCCTGTCTATCTTCTTTTTCTGTTCTTTTGGTGGTGGCAGCTATTTTGTGTTATACCAAAAGTAGCTGTGTTGTGACTGGTTGCCCTCAACACCTTCTCAAAATTCCAATTGTGCCCCCAGAGAAAAAAAGGTTTGTGACTGCTGGTGTGGAGGCTTGCATTAATGTGAGTGCTATCAACTGATACCAAAACTGTCCATTTGCTTAGTGTAACAATTTAGTGTAAACCTGCAGGAACCAGGTATGGCCACTAGGTGGGAGTAAAATAGTTGAAGATTAATCCCTGTAAAACCATAAAATTGTAGATTTGGAAGGGACCAAGAGGGTCATCTAGTCCAACCCCCGGCAACGAAGAAACATTTTGCCCAACATGGGGTTCAATACACAACCCTGATATTAAGAGTCTCACTCTCTACTGACTGAGCTAGTGCAACGAATAACAAAAAACACTATAAATTCCTGAACATATTATTTGAAAAGTAATGTATGGTAAATTCAAATAGTACCTTTGGATTATCAATTACAGGGGTGACAATAAGGTCAGACTCCAAGAAGATAAGCTCTTTCACTTTGGACTCTATATCCTGCTGGCTGCAGCATATGTTTTTATCCTAGAATATAAACAAATAGTAGTAGTATTTACAATGACATATATTTTAAATGCAGCAAACATTGTGCAACTCCTGCATTTATTATTAAAAGGCACCAGAAGGCTTCCTTGTCAACTCCAAAGGATATTAACGCAGGCAGTAGAATTAATTCATTGGTTTCCTAGAGTGACAATATTGATTCTTGAGATATGTGTGAAAGTAATGAATCCCATTATCTAGAAAAGTACATTAGGACCTGTCAGGGAACTGCCATCGGAGCTAGAGGCGGAGGGAAGGCTCCAAAGGGATGCAGGAGAGGGTCCCAGTAGGGAGAGAGGCAGCCCATCTGCTGGGGAAGGAAATCAGCGTAACACCAGTGGAGAAGGGGGGCAGGTGGGGGAATCGGGGAGGAGGCTCCAAGACTCTTTTGGCACGGTGTGTACTTGGACATATTTTAGTGTCCCGGAGGAGCGTCCTTCCCCCGTGTCCTTATTTCAGTCATCCGTGTGAATGGTATCTAGGGTTCCTAGGTTGTCCACAAAGATTGAACCGTTCTTGCCTAGTGGAACCGCTATTTCAGCTTGATGTGTTATTGTTTTCTTTGTTATGGGTGGTTCCGTAGGTCCCAGTTCCTCTGGCGATAGGAATAGCCGTAGTGTCCACTCACTGTTGGATAAAGGTTTTGTGGTATAAGTTGCATAGTTAAATTCCCTGGTGACAGGTGTGGCTAGGAGGGTAATAGATTTCCTTATAGATGCTAATCTTTCAATTAGTGCGTCCTGAGCTTTATGTATTTGTTCAATAGTTGCTATGAAGCGGTTTTCCTTCTCTATGCTGGAGCTTTCATGATTTCCTGATACATGATTTGGGGATAGTGGTTTTGGTCTTTTAGCCAGCTGGTTTGGGGCTTTATCTGCCTCTAGTTGAAGCATCTTACAGTTCTCGTCCATCGTAGACTTTGTCGGCTTTGTTTTTAGCTTATCAGTCCTGATGGTTTCGATGAGAGGAGTGGGAGTTCCGGACTCTTCGAATAGGCGAGTCACCTGCAATCCAACCCTTTGCAGCTTGTCCTTATTGTCTGAAACTAGTTTGGTTGTGTGCCAGTCTCTGAATGTTACCACAACTCTGTTTAGGTCCTTGTCTGATGGCAGAAATTTAACATTGATGATGTTTTCTGCTGGGACGAACCCTCTAACGGCTAATTCAGTTTTCTTGAGAATATAGATTCTCTGTTGTGCTGGGGAAAGGAGATCTTTGTGCATGTATATGGGTAAGATGATAAGTTGTTGTTTGTTTAGAATTAGGTTTCTGCGAGAGTATATTGTTTTAGAAGGAATTTCTTGCTTAGGGATCGGGTTTTCCCTTGAATTTCTCGCGGATCCATTCGAGAGCGCTACTTGCTCTGTTATATTGTGAAGCCCAGGCTTATGGAGTTCCTCTGTTGAATTGGAGAGGCCAGCCTTATGGGGGTTTTTATTTGAGCTTGGGCTTCGGCTTTTATCAAAGGGAGGCAGAACTGGGTTAGCCGGGCTCGTTGAATTTGAATTCTCTAATAGCTTAAATAGTCTTGTGAGGTTCGTTTCCTTTGTTCGGGATGGGAGCTTTCTCTTCCTTCCCATTTTTACGTTCTTGGGCTTCTTCTCTTTATTCCTGGGACACTTCCCCTTTAAGAGGGGTTTCTTAGGGTCGACTAAGTTTCCCTTTTGGTTTGATGTTTTGATGTTTTTAGATTTCTTCGTCTTGGGTTCCGGTTTTCTTTTGTGTGAGTTCTTTTTGGGTGGTATGTGGATTCTAGCATCTGAGTCCAGGAGCTGATCTGTGGCTCTTTTTGCTTGTTTGAAATTCTCCACAAGCGTCAGGAGTAGGCCATTTGTTACTGCTAGGAAGTTTTTTATATTGTAGAGGTCTGTGCGTATCTGATCTATTTGATCGTGTAACTGGTCACCCCTCTCTTCTATACTGTTGGCATTCACTGTGGGCTGGGGGTCTTGCTGGTTTTCCCTGAGATTCTGAGGGTCTTGCTGGTTTTCCCTGAGATTCTGAGTTGATTTTTGATGCTCGAGGTCATTGGGGTTGGGGGAAATGGTCATCAAGGCGTTCTCAGCTAGGTCCAGTTCCTGCGCCCAGCTCATGGAATAATTTGGTCTTTCATGCTCAGTTTGTAAGTCTTTGCGTTGTATTGACCAATCCAGCACAATAGGGGCAATTTCTTTTGGAGTGCTCTCGTGCTGTAGATTCTTATTCCCTTCTTTATGGGGGAAATAATTGGTGATTTTACTCTGCTTCCTTCGGGGCTCCCACTCCCCCTTAGGTGATATGGTGCAAATCCCAGGTCCTTATAGTTCTTTCTTGTAAGGACCATGTTGAGCGTGGAAAAAGGTAATTGGGAGCAGTTTGCTGGAATCTCTTAGTCCTGGGGTTTTATTTGGTTTCAACTGGCTCGGTCACAAGACAGATTATGTTTATCTTCCAGTTTCCCACCTTCGAAAGGTGGGGAGGGTTGTTTTACTTCGAAAGGTGGGGAGGGTTTCATGCTTGTCCTTTATCTCGGTGGGCCTTCTAGGTTTCTACTCCCTTCTACTCCCTTTTCCGTCTTTAGTTCTCAGCTTTAGGGCTTTTAACGCTTCTGTCCTGTGGTGCCTTCCCCCTTATATTTGCGAGCAGAAATACCGAGACTGTCTCCAGTACCCTTGTCACCCTCAAAGGAGTTATAAATGACTAATAGATCAGAATGATTTACTGCAGCAAAGTAATAGGGCTTGTGCCAGGGGATAAGATGAAGCAGAACTTGCCTTCAGTTTCAGCTGCTCCTTGTTTCTCGGCGTCTTTCTCAGGTTGAGCAGTAAAACAATAAAACAATAAACTAAAAACAAGGAGAGGTGATGAGGCAGCCAGTAAAATGTTAAAAATATAAAATTAGAATTAGGAAGTGGCTAAAAACCACTTGAAAGCTTAACGGAAGGCGGGAGCTCTGACTAGGCTGCTGTCTCAGTCGCCATCTTGACCTCTCTCGGAGCAAAACTATATGGTGTATGACCGCGAACTGCTTGCGATCTATGAGGCGTTTCGCCGATGGAGACATCTGCTAATAGGGGCGCAGCACAAGATCCAGGTTTGTACTGATCACAAGAACTTGGAATACTGGAGGACCGCACGAGTACTCAACCAGAGACAGATTCGATGGGCACAAGAGTTCTCCAAGTTTTCCTTCGAGATACGATACGTGCCAGGAGAGGAAAACGTAAGAGCAGATGCTCTCTCCCAGAAGCCGGAGTACATGGAAGGAGAGGGACCGCTAGAGATACGACACGTGATCCCCGAGGACCGATGGGTGTGTGGGGGAGCCTTGGTTGGGAAACGAGAACTGGCCGGGCTTACTAGAAACGACGTGTTCGCTCAAACTAAAATCCAGGAACTCCGAGATGGAAGAGAAAGCCATGGGGGGTTTGAGGAAAAGGAAGGGGTGCTGTACTATAAGGGGGCACTGTATGTACCAGGGGAGACCCTGAGGCGGAAGGTACTCAAACAACTCCATGACAACCCCACAGCTGGGCACTTTGGACAGCACAAAACCATGCTGCTCGTCACCAGGCAGTTCTGGTGGCCAAGGGTGAGGGAGGATGTACGGGAATATGTACGGGGGTGCGACCGCTGCCAAAGGGCAAAGGGGGAGAGGGCTGCCCCGCAGGGCTACTGGAACCCTTACCCACGCCGGGAAGACCCTGGGAAGTGGTGTCCATTGATTTTATGACAGATTTGCCCAAGTCCAGGGGAAAGACAGCAGTCATGGTAGTAGTCGATCTACTGACGAAAATGTGCCATTTCATAGCTTGCTCACATGCCGTGACGGCAGAGGAGACAGCCAAGTTGTTTGTGGATCACATCTTCAGGTTGCATGGGGCGCCCTCGAGGGTTGTCTCAGATCACGGAAAACAATTTACTTCACGATTCTGGAGGAAGCTCATGAGCTTGCTGCAGGTAGAGGTGGGCTTCTCGACGGCGCGACACCCGGAAACCAACGGGCAAGCAGAAAGAGCGAACAGTATACTCCAGCAATACCTACGCTGCTACGTCAGCGAGAGACAGAACGATTGGGTAGAGAAACTAGCGCTGGCTGAATTTGCGTACAATAACGCTGAACATGTGTCCACGGGCATGAGCCCGTTCATGGCCAATTATGGGTGTCACCCCAGGGCCTTCCCGGGAAGGGGGAAGGAAGGGTGGAGTGTACCTGCGGCGGAGCAGTTTGTGGAAGAAATGGAGGCATTGCACCAGCAACTCAAGATGAACTTGGAGCGGGCCAAGGAAGTTTATAAGAGGCAGGCAGACAAGCACCGTCGGGAGGGGGAGGCCATACGGGTAGGAGACTGAGTGTGGTTGTCAACCCAAGGGTTGCCCCTAAAGGGAGGGTGCAAGAAGTTGCAGCCAAGGCGGCTGGGACCGTTTGAGGTAACACAGCAGGTGAACCCTGTGGCATTCAAGCTCAAGTTGCCTGACAGCATGAAGATACATCCGGTGTTCCATAGGTCCCTACTCTCACCGTACAGGGAGGGGCGGGAATTCCCGGGGCGGGAGGGAGGAGTCACCGCCCACCCGCGGGTAGAGGAGAGGGAACTCCACCACCAAGCCACGGAAATACTCGATTCTAGGTGGCGAGGGCGCCAGGTGGAGTACTTAGTGGCTTGGGAAGGAGAACCCGAGTCAGAAAACACTTGGGTCCCCGCTGAGGCGGTCAATGATGGGTATCTAGTGGAAGAATTCCACAGCCTGTTCCCAGACAAACCAAAACCACTAGCGAGATTCTGGGAGGAAGAATTTGGAACCACAGACGACGAGGAGGAATTTGTGGGTTTTCCTGCCTCCGAAGAGGAAGGAGGGGAAATGTCAGAGGGAGAAGAATCAGACTGGGAGGCCCACCCCGCGGCAAGATATCGGAGCGGGTGGGAAGCGGGTTTTGAATCCTCAGAGGAGAGCGACAGCTCCTTCAGGGACTTCCCTGCCTCGTTGGCCGAGGAAAGGGACGCGGTTGGATCTGAAGGTCGGGCCGGGGGCGGAGGGGGTCCTGGGGGGGAGGTGGATGTCAGGGAACTGCCATCGGAGCTAGAAGCGGAGGGAAGGCTCCAAAGGGATGCAGGAGAGGGTCCCAGTAGGAGAGAGGCAGCCCATCTGCTGGGGAAGGAAATAAGCGTAACACCAGTGGAGAAGGGGGGCAGGTGGGGGAATCGGGGAGGAGGCTCCAAGACTCTTCTTCGCTGGAGACCAGCGGAGAGAGTACGGGTACTCCGCTGCCCACACCCTCCCTGCACAGAAGACTTCCGCGCAGGGAGAGTAGGAGGAGACTTGGCGTCAAACAACTTTTATGCTGGAAAAGGTTTAAGAAACGCCCACTGATGGATTCTGCCAGCGACTGAGACAGTCACGATGCTGGAGGCTGTTCAGTCAGAAAGGGTTAACCAGGTAACCTAGCCAGGAGTGGCGGAAACTTACGCACGAGCAACCCCTAAACCCATTACAGGACCTATCAATTAAACAGCTGAATTTTTTCTCACCATTTTCTGATGTACAAGAACGCCATCATAATCTTATGCAATAATTTGCTCGTTATGTAAAAAAAAATCACTCAGATATATTCCACTGTAAATATATTCTGATCCTTCAGTATTCTTGCTTGTTTCATTCAACAGCTTCATTTTTTCCACACTTTACTCCACCACCTTCTGTTTTGTAACCCCTCATTCTTTTCTTTTTTACATTCTCTCTTCTTCATCATATAACATAGTTTTCAGGCTGGAATGAATATACTTCCTGTTTTCTTCGTGCTACCATCCCATCTAACTTCTACTTCAAAGCTTATTGAGGGTGCAACTTTTATACTAAAAGTAAAAAATGTAAAGGACCCTTGGATGGTTAAGTCCAGTCGAATTAGACTATGGGGTGCAGCACTCATCTCTGCTTTCAGGCTGAGCCAGTGTTTGTCCACAGACAGCTTTTCAGGTCATGCAGCCAGCATGACTAAACCGCTTCTGGTGCAATGGGATACCTCGATGGAGGCCAGAGTGCACGGAAACGCCATTTACCTTCCTGCCACAGCAGTACCTATGTATCTACTCGCACTGGTATGCTTTCAAACTGCTAGGTTGGCAGGAGCTGGGACAAGGCGACAGGAGCTCACCTACAGCATCCATTACAGAATCCTAAACATTTATAGTTAGAAATAAGCCCCTCTGAAATAAATGAGATTTCCTTCTGTACAAAGGACTAAGATTGGGCTGTACTACTGCTTCTTTGCCTTCAGCTCTCTGATAATCTCCATCACTAGTTTCTGTTTACCGTATTTTTTGCTCTATAGGGCGCACCTAGATTTTAGGGGGGGAAATAAAGGGGAAAATATTCAAAGAGCAAAGAAGCCAAGACAGCGAGCGGGATGGATCCTGCTAGCTGTCTTGGCTTCATTTTTAGCCGCGGGGCTGGGGCGGGGGAAGCCTGAGCTTCCCCCAACCCCAGAACGGGTCCGGGAGCAGGGGCAAGGTTGCGTGCAACCTCGCCTTCGCTCCCGGAGCTTGCCGGGCTGAGGGCGGGGAAGCCCGAGCTTCCCCCGACCCCAGCCCCCAGAACGGGTCCGGGAGCGGGGACAAGGTTGCGCACAACCTCGCCTTCACTCCCGGAGCTTGCTGCTGTCTGCAAGCCTTCTGAGCCCGGCGGGAACTCCTGCCACGCTCCGAAGGCTTGTGGATAGCTGCCTGAAGCCTGCATTCGCTCCATAGGACGCACACACATTTCCCCTTCATTTTTGGAGGGGAATAAATGCATCCTACAGAGCGAAAAATACGGTAATTTATTCCACCAAATCTAGTTTTAACAGGAATTATCAATTGCTGTTTTCTAGTTAAATATAAGGGCCTCATCATCATCCTCACTCTTCTCAATCTGTGTGCCTCTTCTAACACTGTCAATTATTTTCTCACCATCCTTGGCTTCAGTAATGCAATTTTTTCCTAGTTGTGATTTGACAGCTCTTCCTCTTCTGTTTTTCTATAGCAGTCATATGGAATTCAGTCTCTTGCTTCCGTTTCCTTCAAACTACACTCACCTTTGCTGAAGAACTTGGAGATGATGTGTGTGCGGAATTTGTAGCTAGAACAGCAGCAGCATTGTTTATTTCCACTGTGGTGGTAGTTCTAGGGGTGGGTCGAGAACTGAAAGACAATAGACACATGTTTATATAAAACTGAATACTTAAATGCAAATTATCTGAATTATTTTCTACAACTTCATTTAAAAGTGTTGTGCTGTCTTCATACCTGAGTAGAAATATAGATTCATTTGATTCACCATCAACAGCACTTTTAGGGCGTAGTTCTTCTGGATTTTCTTGACAAAGAAAATATTGTAACTATTTACCTGCATGAACTATGTATACAATTGTAATGTTTCAAGCATGCATTTTAGTTCTCAGTTTTACATTACAGTGGTACCTCGGAAGTCGAACAGAATCCATTCCAGAAGTCCGTTCAATTTCCAGAATGTTTGCAAACCAAGACGCGGCTTCTAATTGGCTGCAGGAAGATCCTGCAGCCAATCAGAAGCCATGTAAGCCACGTTGGATGTTTGGGTTCCAAAGAACATTCGCAAACTGAAACATTCACTTCTGGGTTTGCGGCGTTCAGGAGCCAAAACGTTTGACTTGCAAGGCGTTTGGGATCCAAGGTACGACTGTACATGGTCGCCCCCAAAGCTGTTTTCATTAACCAACACCCACCTGTCAATTGCTCAATCAGGACTAACAAATGTAATTTCCTGGCAGGTGCTTTTGAATCTCTCACTCTGCACCCCCTCTTTGTTCATTCTCTTCTTGCCCCCACGCTTTCCACTGGCCCTCCATGAACCTGCACTGACATAAATAACTGCTATTCAAGTTACTCTGTGTGAGAGAAAAAGCCTTTTTCTCAGCTGATGTGTGAAACGCAGGGGGAAGAAACCTACTTTTTAGATCAGCAGTGAGATGGACCTCTCTTGCACACAGTGGATGCCTATAGAATACCAGCTTCCTTGTCCCCATGCCCCATAAAGATGGAAAAAGAATCTCTTTGCTAGCCCTGTGTTTGCTGCTTTGGGAAGTGCCAAGCAATAGGGCTAACAAGCCACTTTTGCAGTGGTTCCCCAGGTCCCGACAGGACCCTGCACAAGTCATTGTAACAGGTGGGCAGGACAACACACCTGTCAATCATGTGTTATCATAATAGTGACTAGCAGGTAAGTGGCCGCCATCCACCCGTCAAATTTGGCCCATGAGGCCTATTTTGGTAAGAATCTGGCTCAAGAAACCAAAACAGTTCCCAATTCCTGAACCAATACATAAAACGAAGGTGCAATCTTACCCAGCTTGAAAGATCTGTTAAGTTGATTGTTTTCTGTTCTTGGCAACACTATGTCTGGGAGGCTTTTACACTCTAATTGAATCTCAGACTCTCCAGGTTCAAGCAGTTCAGCTTTTTTCCTGCTGTTCAAACAATTGACAATGAAATGTACTTTGCAGGCAATGCAAATTTCTCTGCATTTTATTCTGGACAGATCCTTAAACAACGGCAAAATTATTTTTTTACTTATTTATATATAGACAAGCAATTTTTTATTTAATTCATTTATGTTGTCCAAGGATATCAGCTACACTGCTAATGGGTTGCAGGACAGCAGCTCTCTAAAAACAGGGCCATAGCCAAGGGTGAAGCCATATTGCTTTGTTGCAGCAAAGAGAGGGAATCTTGTGACATCTTAAAAACTAGCCATGTTGTGGCAAAAGTATTCAAGAGGCAGAACCCACTTTGTCAGAAATCTTTAGCCTCATGCATACATCCTTCTCACAATAAGTTTGTTAAGCAACAGAATTCCAAATTAATTTTAAACTGAGTCTACTGTACCTGGAGCTTGTTTCTTGGCTGGAGATCGTGTCACTGGGAATTTGGATAAAAGCATCTTTCCAGAAAGGATGCTGCAGCAGCTTGGGCCAAGTCAATCTTTAAATAAAATAGGAAAATACATATACAATCCTCTCATACAGTACCAGTTTAAATTCCACAAACTTCTAGATTTGATTTTTTTTAATCAGTGTGTATCATTAATAAATAGCCAGATCTTCAAATCATAATTTTACCTCTTCTGAGGATCCTTCTCAAGTAAAGAATCAACCAAGTTAAGGAAGTCTGAAGATGGTTCTAGAGATGCTGATCCTGTAAGATAACGAAACTATTCTATTTTGAAACAAATATGATTCTACTAACTACCAAAATCTAAAAACAGCAACATAAAAGAATTCATATATTAACTTCTTAAGGAGGGAATGTATGGAATCATTCACTCATTTGTCCCATTTTATAAACTTTTAAAATTATTTTCACCATCATTTATCTAAGGAACAATACCTTGCTGTGTAGGTGGGAAAGGATCTTCATGTAAAATCTGTTCTGCTAATTCAGTAACACTTTTGGAGAAGAACGGAGGTCTTCCTAGAAACAGAAGTAGATAAGATTTCAGTAAAACTTGAATAAGCATCAGAACAATTAAGTAAGAATTTTATTTGCATGGGCCAAGAGTTATTACAAGTCCATTTAAGAGAACATAACAAAAATGGAAAATTGCCAGCATTATACCAATTGATTTCTAAAAACCAGAATTTTTCATCTGTTTTGCTTAAGGCTCTTGACAGCAAGAAACACTGAGTTACACCTATAATTCATAAAAAGATATACAATTGGGGGGGGGGGAATCAAACTAAACAAGATGCAGAAGATCTGAGATCACATCCCGAGATATTTCTTTGGGAAGAAAAAGCAGCCACAGGAAGGCCTGAAAGGGATCTGGGCAGAAAAAGAACGGGTGGAGGAATCTTTCCTCTGTGCCATTCTCATAGTTTAAACACCCACCCACCCAAAAAACCTATACTATTTGACCTACTAGTAGAAGAAAACTTTTTTGGGGGGAGGAAAGAGCTAAATAGTTAATGTCATAAGATGAAATCACAAATTACTAACATCTTATTCAGTTAGGCCCTAACAGATTGTCAGTTAATCTTCTTCTTCCATCCCCACTCTGAAATGCTGTGGCGGCGGCCACTCCTCACTATTATACACCAAAGGTCCACAGAAGACAACCACAGACCAGCAAAGTGGGTTATGATGACTGCCCACTGTAGCCGAACAGTCACTTGGGATATGATTTGAAATTTAATCTGAGTGTTCATTTTATTTATTTTACTTTTATGTACTTAACAAAATTTGTAAGTCACATGATCGTAAAATAACTGTCTAATCTAAGTGATTTACATGAATATGAAATAAAGCATTAAAACTTTATTTATAATGAAGGTCTGCAGCAAGAACTTTAACCTAACTGAAGGGGAAAACCAAGGGCTGAGATTATCCTAGTCTGATTGAGATTAAATTCTACCTGCCTCTCCATACCTTTCAGTTCCTTAGACACAATAATCTTTACACTGAAAGTACATTCCAATGTCTTGCCACATGTCTCACTGCTTATTCTACTAAGTAACTGTATTAATGACTATACAAATTAGATGTTCACAGCTCTGTTAACAGCAAAGGAACCTACACAAGTTCATAAATGGAACAACATCTCCATCTTAAAGTTCCTGAATAGTATTAGCATTTATAACAATAATTAACATTGTAACGTAATGTTAAACATGTTAGTATAAATAATATAATACCTGAATACATTTCATATAACAAACAGCCCAACGCCCATAGATCACTGGCTATAGAGAAGTCACTTCCTTCTATCACTTCTGGAGCAATATATGACAGTGTACCTACAAAATAAAGTCATGAATAGTGATTTGCTCTGATTTTGTAATAAACATCCTTTCAAAAGTCACCAACATTTTTATCCAATAGTGGATGGTCTTGCAGGGTAGGATCACTCATCTGACCTCCAGTTAGTAATGTTACTGCGTACGGGAGGTAGAGGGGGAGAGATGAAGCCATGGGGAGCTTGGCAACAAGTGCGCTGGATTTGCTCCACCATTTGCACCATGCCAACCTCACCCCTCACTTTATACCGCCTGATAAACAGCAGTAATACAACTGGCTGGTGGTGTCCCACCCTGGTGTCCACTACTGCTTTCATCTTAAACTCATTTCTGGGATACTCAAAGGAATTTCAGACTGATTTTCTTCTAAGTCTTTTGATGTAACAGGGTCAAGTAAACATACCCAGAGCAGCTCCAATAATCACAGAGCAACAAGCAACCAGAAAGAAGCGGAAACACAAAGACTGAGTGCACTCTACTTTGTCTAGCCCTGCACCTTACAACAGCAGGAAGGTAACCCCAAAGTGGAAGAACTGGAGAGTTCAGGGAAGGAGACTGGGGTAATATGGCACCCGGCATTTATCTGATGAAACTGACAGCCACACAACTCAGCTCTTTGAAAACCTAACTGCTTGGTATGACTTTGCACTGAGGAAACAACCCTACTGCTGCTGCTGCTCTGGTGAGTGCTGGGTGGGCCGCTCTCTTTCCTGCCAACTCCATCTGGCCTAGGGGGCGGAGACTGCACTCATCGCCACAGCTTGAGGGCCTCCATCAAGGCCTCTGGGACACTGCTGCTGTTGCTGCCTGCGTGAGTGTTGGGAGGACCGTTCCCTTTCCTGCCAACTCCATCTGGCCTAGGGGGCGGAGCCTGCACTCATCGCCACAGCTTGAGGGCCTCCATCAAGGCCTCCGGGACACTGCTGCTGTTGCTGCCTGCGTGAGTGTTGGGAGGACCGTTCCCTTTCCTGCCAACTCCATCTGGCCTAGGGGGCGGAGCCTGCACTCACCGCCACAGCTTAAGAGGCCTGAGCAGCTACCTGCAGCAAGTGACAAAATGGTTTTAAATGTTTTAACTGCTTTTAATTTGCTGCACCTTAAATGGTGGTTGTTGTTTTTTATAATGTTTTATAATTGTATAATTTTATTTCTGCTTGCGGTTGGTTAAGTATTTAGTTAGGGTGGGGAGTAGTTTAATTTTAGCACTATTGTTTTTTGCTGTGCTTCTATTTTTATTATTCTGTTAAGTTATTATATAGTTTGTATTTTGCCTTTTAAGGGGAAGGGTCAGGGCTGCCTGGGAGTGGGCCTCAGCTAATAGAATGGCTGGGGCAGGTTCCACAGGAGGGAATGTATTGGGACACCCGATCTCAGTGATCACGGGCAGGAGGAGGAGTTACGCTAAGACCAGACCATGTCATTACCGAGGAGGCAGGTTTAGTCGTTGTTTGAGGACTATCCCTGCCTCCAGGTCTGGTCCTGACCGGAAGGATACTGGAATCAGCAAGGGAAACCCACATGACCTGAAAGTGTTGCTGTGCAATGCCAGGTCAGTGATGAATAAACCACTGCCATCCACGACCTGATTGTGGATGGAGGATTTGACCTGGCATGTGTGACAGAGACCTGGTTGGATGAAGCAGATGGGCCTGTCCTTGCCGCTGCTTGCCCACCAGGTTTCTCTTATGCACAGCAACCCAGGTCATGTGGGCAGGGAGGGGGGGTTGCAGTGATTTTTAGGAAGTCATTAGTCTGCACCAGGCGTCCTATTGGGAAGACCCAGTTCTCTGAGTGCATGTTCTGGAAGTTGGGCAATAGGGGCAGTATAGGATTCCTATTGGTGTACTGACCTTCCCGCTGCACCAAGGATTCCCTGCCCGAGCTGCTTCAGGTCGTGGCGGATATGCTCCTGGAGACACCTAGCTTGGTTGTCCTGGGGGATTTTAACATCCATGCCGACACAACCTTAGAAGGGGCCGCTCGGGACTTCGTGGAAAGCATGGCCTCCATGGGGCTGTCCCTGAATAATTTTGGCCCAACTCATAGCCGCGGACATGCCTTAGACTTGGTGTTTACCTCTACGGATGTTGGTGATCTGACATTAACTAAAAGCGAAACAAAAGAAGTGCCATGGTCAGATCACTTCCTGGTGCAACTGGACTTCTCCGCAACCCTTCCCCTCTGCAGGGAGGTGGGACCGATTTGGATGGTCCGCCCCCGCCACTTAATGGATCCAACTGGCTTCCAGAGAGTGGTAGGGGGTGTTTTACCCCAAGTTGATGGCCTTTCAGCTGATTCCCTGGTGGCCCGCTGGAATGCGGAGTTAACCAGGGCTATTGACTGTCTGGCTCCGAAGCGCCCTCTCCGATTGCATGGAGCCCGGACAGCCCCGTGGTTTTCCCCGGAGCTGAGGGTGATGAAACAATCGTTGAGATGGCTAGAGCGCCGGTGGCAGAAAACTTATTCTGAATCAGACCGGACACGGGCTAGAGCTCAACGTCGAGCCTACCAAGTGGCAATGGCAGCGGCGAAGAGGGCCTTCTTCACCGCCTCCATTGCATCTGCAGAAAACAGCAGCAGGAGACTTTTTCAGGTGGTTCGCAATCTATCGGAACCACCTGCACCACCGGGGCCTGGTAGGGACCCCAAGATCTCCTGCAATGCTTTTGCAAAGTTTTTGCAGATAAAGTCGCTCAGATTCAGAAGGAGGTAGACTCCATCGTGGGAGCAGGGCCAGGGTGGGAGAGTGCTAGAGTTCTGTCTAGTCCTGTTACATGGGATCAATTCCAATCTGTTACCTCCGAGGATGTGGACAGGCTGCTTGGACAAGTGAAACCGACCACCTGTCTCCTTGATCCTTGCCCATCCTGGCTGATAAACGTGAGCCGGGAAGGGCTGGGCGATGGGCTCTGCGGGGTGGTGAATGCTTCCCTCTGTGAGGGAGCCTTCCCAGACCTGCTGAAAGAGGCGGTCATTAAACCGCTTCTTAAAAAAACATCTTTAGACCCAGCCAATTTGGCCAACTATCGCCCAGTCTCAAATTTACCATTCTTGGGCAAGGTGATTGAGCGGGTGGTTGCCAAACAACTCCAAGCACACCTGGAGGATGCGGACCATTTGGATCCCTTCCAATCGGGATTCAGGCCTCACCATGGGACTGAGACTGCCTTGGTCGCGCTGGTTGATGATCTCCGGCGGGCTAGGGACAAAGGTGAGAGCTGTTTCCTAGTTCTGCTGGATCTCTCAGCGGCCTTTGACACCATCGACCATAACATCCTTCTGGACCGTCTAGAGGGGCTGGGAGCTGGGGACACTGTTATACGTTGGTTCCGCTCCTTTCTCCTGGGCCGTGTCCAGAAAGTGGTGGGGGGGGATGAGTGTTCAGACCCCTGGGCTCTCACTTGTGGGGTGCCTCAGGGTTCTGTCCTCTCCCCCATGCTTTTTAATATCTATATGAAGCCACTGGGAGAGATCATCAGGGGGTTTGGGCTGGGTGTTCATCAGTATGCAGATGACACCCAGCTCTACCTCTCCTTTAAATCAGAACCAGTGAAGGCGGTGAAGGTCCTGTGTGAGTGCCTGGAAGCTGTTGGAGGATGGATGACGGCTAACAAATTGAGGTTGAATCCTGACAAGACAGAAGTACTGTTTTTGGGGGACAGGGGGCGGGCGGGTGTGGGGGATTCCCTGGTCCTGAATGGGGTAACTGTGCCCCTGAAGGACCAGGTGCGCAGCCTGGGAGTCATTTTGGACTCACAGCTGTCCATGGAGGCACAGGTTAATTCTGTGTCCAGGGCAGCTGTCTACCAGCTCCACCTGGTACGCAGGCTAAGACCCTACCTGCCCGCGGACTGTCTTGCCAGAGTGGTGCATGCTCTAGTTATCTCCCGTTTGGACTACTGCAACACACTCTACGTGGGGCTACCTTTGAAGGTGACCCGGAAACTGCAATTAATCCAGAATGCGACAGCTAGACTGGTGACTGGGAGTGGCCGCCGGGACCACATAACACCGGTTCTGAGAGATGTGCATTGGCTCCTAGTACGTTTCTGAGCACAATTCAAAGTGTTGGTGCTGGCCTTTAAAGCCCTAAACGGCCTTGGTCCTGTATACCTGAAGGAGCGTCTCCACCCCCATCGTTCAGCCCGGACACTGAGATCCAGCGCCGAGGGCCTTCTGGCGGTTCCCTCATTGCGAGAAGTAAGGTTACAGGGAACCAGGCAGCGGGCCTTCTAGGTAGTGGTGCCCACCCTGTGGAACACCCTCCCTTCAGATGTGAAGGAAATAAGCCGCTATCCTATCTTTAAAAGACATCTGAAGGCAGCCCTGTTCAGGGAAGTTTTTAATGTCTGATGCTGTACTGTTTTTAATATTCAGTTGGAAGCCGCCCAGAGTGGCTGGGGAAACCCAGCCAGATGGGCGGGGTATAAATAATAAATTATTATTATTATAAAAGGTTACTACTAGCACTAACTGGCACAGCCAGTGGTGAAGAACGATGGGAGCTGGAGCAACATACTGAGGGTCACAGATGCCCTATCCATCAAATGTAGAATCACTGCTTTCAATAAGGCAGGGTAAGATATCACTGAATTAGTTCCCCCATTTCAAGTTTTAGAAAATAGAACCATTACACAATTTTAATTACAACTCTGTCTTTTGCAACTGCTGTCCTTACATATTGCAATGTACCTCTGAATCTGTTCTTCAGATTTTGTCTTGAGTTTTCATCACTATCACCTCCTCCGTCTTCTGTTCCAATTAAAGCAAAAAATTCCTCCAAGTTTTCACCCTCTGCTTTAGCCAAGCAAAAGTTACTGAACTTCAGTGTACCAGGTCCTTCAAGGAGAATCTGTAAGGTATATCAATTAGTGATTTCTTGAATTATTTTTTTTAAAGTTGTTTTCAGAAATCATTCCCTCTTACCTTCCCAGGTGTAAGGTCACAGAAGAGAATTCCAAGGTTGTGAATATGATGGAGTCCAGTAACCAAATCAACACCAAATTCTCTCACAACCACCTCAGGTAGACATTCATCTTGAGTAATTACCATTTCCAGTGATCCACCTGTAAGGCATTTATGGATATTCTGCTATGAAGTGGTTTTTTAAAAAAAAAAACAAATTAACTGACCTCTGTAGTACTATGTAAATTTTTACCCATAAGCTTTTTCTGACAAAATAGGCATACGAAAGCTTTGATCTACACTGCCCACCTGCGATTCCTAGCATGCAGTATTCAGAGCCATAATGCCTCTGATGCTGGTAGTAGAAAGAACGATTGGTCTTACCTGAAGTGTAGATTTAAAAGTGGGGCACCAGAGCCAATGGATTAAGTTTTATTTTTTGCCGATTACTGTTGTCTATGCTCTGGTAACCTCTAGGTTAGATTACTGCAACACATTATACATGGGGCTGCCTCTGATGATGGTACGGAAACTTCCACTGGCACAGCATTCAGCGATCAGGTTGCTCACCAGGGCAAGCCTCCTTGAGCATATAACACCAATCCTGGCCCGATTGCACTGGCAGCAATATGAGAACAGGCCTTTTCTCTGGTAGCTTCCCACTTGTGAAATTTTGATTGGACCTAGTAAAATGGAGGTGGGGAGTCTAGGGACCAAATCCATCCCTCAAGGCTTCTCTAGATGGCCCTTGGGAAACAACGGCCACAAAACATTGTGTTTAACAGCTGCTTACCTGTGCACAATTCCACCACAAGCCAGAGGTGATTGCTTGTTTCATACCATTCATGAAATGTTACTATGTTCTTGTGCCTAATTTCATGAGTAAGGCGCACCTGCAACAGATTATCCACATATGAGTTGGTTTCGGTTGAGGATGGGACAGGCACAAAATGGAACAGTAGCCCTTAAGAAGTTGGAATTCAAGAGATGTCTATGCAAAAAGCAATGTAGCAGACTAGGATTCCCCCGGTCCCCATGGGAAAGACACAAGAGGATGGTAATAGATTAATACATTTGTGAAAAATGTTGGGGTGGATTCATTATGTTCCAAGAAAAGTACAAAACAAAAGGTGTGATGGATGGTTTACAGACTGTGAATTTTCAAGACAGAAAAGGATTGAACAAAACATTGAAGGCCTATAGCTATTTTTTTTAAAAGTTTGAGATTAGTCAATTAAAAACATTTTTGAAACCATAAATTGCCCTGTAGGCCTCTTCATGAACACTTCATTTGATCAAACCTGATTAGTCTTTGTAACAAAGGTGAAATGGGAACCAAATCCACCCATATATACCATATATTACTCTTGCTTCTCATCCCAAACAGAGTTATTTCAGAGAGAGAGAACTGCCCAAGACAAGAGCCTTTCAGAGTTAAGTAAAATAGGGATTGATTGAGCAATTGCCAAATCAGTTTCAGACAAAACTGTGGCACACAAAAATCCTGTGGGTTGCTGTGTTTTTGTGCCAAGCTCTCTTCACACTATTGTGCAGCCACATCTTTCTCCAGCACATCTGAATTACAACCGTAGTGAATTCTCCAGAGATATATGTAATGACTGTTTACCTCATAAAAGTCAAAAACCAACAGTTGTTGCATTTATGATTTTTCCAGAATGTAAAGGATTTCTTATGAAACAGTCACGAAGCATACAATGAACACTCAGGGTACCCACCATAATTATCCAATCTGAGCACACCCAAAATTTAAGAGGAAAAAGAAGTTTCTAGATTCTGCTAAAGAACCCTTTAAAGTACAGCTAATTGGAACATGGATCTTGTTCAAAATTATTGTGGACTTTTTCAACCAAATGGCACATTTGTATCTGAAAATATGTTGAATCATTTCATTTACATCTCTTTCTAAAATAATCAATGTAGTTCTTACCCAGTTTGTTATTTCAGCTCTCTTGCATTTCTCAGTGCACAAAATAGCCACAAAATTAATAGTTCCTTTTCTTCTCCCTTTATATACAACTGTTTTGCTTCCTCTTCCAATCTCTTCATACAAAATAAAGTTCTCCATAATAAAACCTGTATACATAAATTAAATCAAAGCCACAAAATTAAAACCTCAAAATGAAAAGAAAACTCCTCTAATTTAATATAAGAATGAACACCTTGATTTTTTGAATAGCATAACCTACAAAATGTTTATAGGCATGTAGTTTTATATAGTCTTTAAGAGAATAACTTACACTAAAGAATTAGAACCTGTGGCCCTCCAGAGGTACCTAGAGTCCAAATCCCATCTGCCTCAGCTAGCAGAGCCAACTTCTGGAGGACCACCAGTTTCTCATCCCTGACATGCACAGCAACCTACAACTAAGGGAGCCTGAGCAACACAATATTTTACATATGATGACTTTAATGTCTATGAGGAGAGCCTGAGAACTCAATCTAGGTGACACTTATGGTATACAAAGTGACATAATACGAAAGAATGAGCTGTACCTTCTTTCTAAAGGACTAGGATAAAAGCCATTGTTAATTGTTTATTATTTATATAGGTAACTTACTAACATATTTCTCTTCTGGAGTAGGGGGGATTAACTAATTAGCAGTGCAGATTATACATTAGATTACAATTACATGTTTAGGGGACGCGGGTGGCGCTGTGGGTAAAACCTCAGCACCTAGGGCTTGCCGATCGCATTGTCGGCGTTTCGAATCCCCACGGCGGGGTGCGCTCCTGTTGCTCGGTCCCAGCGCCTGCCAACCTAGCAGTTCGAAAGCACCCCCGGGTGCAAGTAGATAAATAGGGACCGCTTACAAGCGGGAAGGTAAACGGCGTTTCCGTGTGCTGCGCTGGCTCGCCAGAGCAGCTTCATCATGCTGGCCACGTGACCCGGAAGTGTCTCCAGACAGCGCTGGCCCCCGGCCTCTTAAGTGAGATGGGCGCACAACCCTAGAGTTGGACACGACTGGCCCGTATGGGCAGGGGTACCTTTACCTTTTTACATGTTAAGAACTTGCATAAATTTAAAAAATGTGGGAAGAGAAAGGGATCTCAAGAGTTCAAGATATTTTTGAAAGCAGCAAGCTGCTCTTGCAAGAAAAGTCGTTCCTGGTGGCGCCAAGTTCTGTTCTTGGCTCCATATCCATCAGTTAGGAAGTTTTGCCAGAAAACTTTACAGGAGGCCCATAGATCTGTTACAGTGAGAATTAGTGTCTGCAACACCCAATTCAATTTGGGATAGATTATAGGGCAACCTTTATGGATCCTGGGAAATATACAAAAACATTATTATTACCATTACCATCACCATCACCGCCTTTTTGGTGCTCCCAGACCCTGGAACTCCCTCCCAAGCAGATGCAAACTTTCTTGTTTCAACAGGCTTTTGAGAACTGATGGCTTTTAATTAAAGGGCTGGTGCTGTTTTTATTGTAATTATGTTTGCATAAACTAAAAAATGTGGGAAAAGAAAGGGATTTCAAGAGTTCAAAATATTTTAGAAAGTAAGCTGCTCTTGCAGCAAAAGCAGCTTTTATATATATGCGTGTACATATATATATATATATATGTGTGTGTGTGTGTGTGTGTGTTTATATATGTGTGTGTGTACATATATATGTGTGTGTGTATATATATATATATGTATGTCTGCTTTTCTGGGGTACGCACACCTCTGAACATTTTCTGAATCTTTGTACTTTTGTCCATTTGCTGTATTTATTTCCCCCAATTTGAACTATAAAATGATGATTTTCTTGAGTCAAAATGAGAGTACCCCTAAACATTTTTTTTTAAAGCAGTGTGTGTGTGTGTGTGTGTGTGTAGCAACCACCGGCACTTCCCCCATCCCCTTTCAGCTACGTTTGGTGGACTTCTTAACAAGATAGAGAGAAACCTAGGTATATTTTAATTTAGCTAATTATGTAATAGGTTTATGTTAGAAAATGAATATGGATGTTGAATTCGATGTTTGTAATTTTTCTTTTTTCGGTTTTGGAAATAGAAAGAGGAAAAAAGAAGAAACAAAGATAGGGAGAAACGCCGGGCAAGTTTCTCCCCTCGCGGAAATCCCAAGAGCGAGGGATTTTCACCTGTTGAATGACTGCCTGTTACAGTTATTAGAGGCGCCGAGTCTCTGCGAAATGAAGGGGGAGAAGCAGCAAGAGGAGGAGAAAGATGGTGAAGGTGATGGCAAAAGGGGCGGCGTATTTCTAATCCCTTCCTCGGAATGGACCGCTGAGTGCAAAAAATAAACCAAAAAAACACTCGCGTTTTTAAATCCTCCGGACGCTGCCTCTTTGCTGAGGGAAGCAGCTCCCACCCTCAGCCCCCAATGACACCCCTGAGGCACGCGGGGAGGAGCCCGTATGGGCGGGCGAAGTAATAATAATAATAATAATAATAATAATAATAATAATATCTCCCACTGAAAGGAAGGGCTGAGGGGCGCGGAAGACACGGCGCCGGAGCCTCTAGCTCGCTCGCGGCCTCATCCCGCAACGCTTCGAAGGGAAGAGAAGACGGACTACCTGCTCTCCTCCGAGGGAAGGAGGACGCGCCAGCCCCGCTCAGAACACAAAAGGAGCGCGCGCGGGGCGGGGCGCGAGAGAGCCGCTTCTGCCGCAACCGTTAACTGAAATCCGCGAGAGACCACGCCCTCCGCAGGCCGCTCCATTTTCGCAGGGGGGGGGTGCCTCTGAGGCCTTTCCGGCTGAAGGGAAAGCGAGTGTTTTTGCCCGGCGGAACGCGTAGGGTTGGGGTAACACTCTACCGTGAGAAAGTCATTCGTCAGTCAACTGGCTTCTCTGGGACACGGTGCGGTTGGAACCTTCTCCTCCTCTCTCCTCCCCCCCCTTATGGGCCATCGTGTGGGCTAGTCCTAACCGCCCCTTCAGTATCTTAGATACGGCACAGGACGCCGGAAACAACAGTCTGAGGGGAGTTTGGGCGGGGCGAGGGAGAGAGAGAGAGACCCTGGGCTCGCGCTCTCTGCGTTAGATCCGCCCCCTCATATCAGGGGTACCCGGATGTTCACCGCCCTGTGCAAGCCGGAGTTCTTCTCTGTTGCTATGGAAACCTGGCCTTTACGGCTTGGACCCCTCGCCCCGGATGGGGCCTTCCTGCCGCAGGTGAGGGAACAGATTAAGAGTAAAGTGGTACCTCAGGTTACATACGCTTCAGGTTACAGACTCCGCTAACCCAGAAATAGTGCTTCAGGTTAAGAACTTTGCTTCAGGATGACAACAGAAATCGTGCTCTGGCGGCGCAGCAGCAACAGAAGGCCCCATTAGCTAAAGTGGTGCTTCAGGTTAAGAACAGTTTCAGGTTAAGAACGGATCTCCGGAACGAATTAAGTACTTAACCCGAGGTACCACTGTAGTGCGAGGCTTGCTTCTACCTCAGGCTTCCTCAAACTCTGCCCTCCAGATGTTTTTGGCCTACAATTCCCATGATCCCTAGCTAGCAGGACCAGTGGTCAGGGATGATGGGAATTGTAGTCTCAAAACATCTGGAGGGCTGAGTTTGAGGAAGCCTGTTCTACCTCACCTTTGGCCCTTCTTGCCGTTTGGTCCTCCCAGAGGGCTGTCGCGGTTAAGCCCCCTTTGCCAACACCCTCCCGTGTTTACGTTTCGTTTCGTTGCTACCTCTAGTGGGGCGACAGTTTCGGAGCGAAAGCCCTTTGCCAAAGCTCTGTTGAAACGCCCGCCAGAATCCGTTCTGCGTGGCCGGCCCTACCATTAGGCAGTAGGAGGCGGCAGCCTCAGGGAGACGATTTCGAGTGCTGCGGAAAACCTTTTCGCTTTTTGTATGAAACTGCAGCAGATAGGTACCTATTGTTACTGTGGTGACGTTTTCTAGCAAGGGAGAAGCAGGGATGCATGTGGGATTTTCCTTCTTTGGGTGCCATAGTAGGGTGACGAAAGTCACCCCCCCAGTCTCTGCGAACGGTAGTAAGGTTCCAGGGAGTTTGCTTCCATTCAAGACATGGCGAAGACTGCTGTGTCTTTCAGAAATATGGCTTATTAACACATTTACAACCTGGTGCAAAAGGTAAAAAAAGGTGAAGGACCCCTGGATGGCTAAGTCCAGTCAAAGACGACTATGGGGTTTTGGCGCTCATCTAGCTTTCAGGCTGAGGGAGCTGGCGTTTGTCCACAGACAGTTTTCCAGGTCATGTGGCCAGCATGACTAAACCGCTTCTGGCGCAACGGAACACCTGGATGGAGGCAAGAGTGCATGGAAACACCGTTTACCTTCCCGCCACAGTGGTACCTATTTATCTACTTGCACTGGCATGCTTTCGAACTGCTAGGTTGGCAGGAGCTGGGACAGAGCAATGGGAGCTCACCCCATCGCAGGGATTCGAATTGCCGACCTTCCAATCAGCAAGCCCAAGAGGCTCAGTGGTTTAGGCCACAGCACCACTTGTGTCCCACTTCAACCTGGTGCAGATGGAGGGAGCACAGAGTTTACAGCATCTGTGTCTCCAGAGGGGCTTATCCTTCAGATGCTTTCTAAGCAGCATCTCTGTGCCTCTGCCCCAGCTTGTCTCCAACCAGTCTTCATGGTGTCTGCTCTTCAGCCCTCTGCATTGAATTATCTCCCACTTCCTGCTTCTCCTTCCCAGAAAACTCATTGACAAGCAACTCCTCCCCTTCTGTCTGCTCATCCCTCTTCTCCCCACTGTTCCAAGCCTAGTTTTAATAGATTGAAGGAGACAGGTACCAAAAGGAACCAAAGTGGAGCCATATTGTCTCAGATAGCAGCCATTAGCTAAAATTTAGGTAGTCATTTACGAACTGTCAGAAACCGTTCTTTTTTTGCAACCCACCCATGCTGGCTTATGAAGGAGAAAGTGATGCAGAGTAAGACATATCGGGTTCAGACTCTATAATCACCTTCTGCTTGGTGCAAAGCACAAGATCAGACCCTATCAGACCCTATTCCAGGGCACATAATAGAAATTGTATTTGAACTGTAGTTGAACCTTACTCCAGTGCTGGTAAAAGGACAGTGTCTTCCTTTACACTTGAGAGCAGCAGGTTTGCGTAGCATTGAGATATGATAAGTGTTATGGTCCTAGGGTTACCATGCTTTTTAAATCTTTGTTTCAGTGGTGTATCTAGGGGTGGGGGTTAACAATTTAAGTTTCTCCTCCCATGGAAGGATGGGATAATATTCACCTGCTGAATTCCCCCATTTAGCATATGCCACAGATGAACATGCAGAGATCCTTTCATGCAATTATCTGCATGCAGCATGCTGCTGAGTACAGAAAGCTGTGGCTTGGGACCCATGGAAGGAATAATCTCAGAAATCTAATGTGGACCAATAAAAATCCTCATCTAAGAATCGTGTCTTTAGCAGTGTTCAAAACTCCCATTGTTCTAGATGCATTTTGTAACAATTTCATTAGTGCAAGCAGTTTCTGAGCTCTGGGCACAGTACTGTGCCTAGGATTTCAGATTAAAACTGCAGTGTGGAAGGAAAGGAGGACCTTTTTCTGCCTCCCCACTTCCAGCTACTCTCTGAAGACTGGAGAAAAGACCCTCTTAAGAATATTAGGGGAGTGGGCAGGGGAAGGACTCAACCATGTGAAAAATGAACATATTTTAGCTGCAGCTTGATCATTTTCAGCTTTGTATTCTTGCTATAAAAAGTGTGCCTAGACATTGTTGCGCTCATAACCTAGGTTTAAGGGCCCATTTAGCTCTAGCTTTCATATCTCAGTTTCTAACACTGGTCTTTAGCTACGTATGACAAAACATTATCGATAGCTATAATGCACTTGATTCAAAATGTTATACGGATGCATAATCAACAATTACAATGTTAAATTAGCCAGGTGGATAGCTATTTATAAGTGTGAGATGACTGAGATTAACAACTGGAAGAAATTCGGTTTACTTTTAAGACTGCCTTAAGACATAACAAATCTACATTCCCTCCCTTCACCCCTTTGCTTTGGCCACTTGTTTGTGTGTGCAGGCATTAAATATACGACTCCTACAAACTGCAGGGAGAAGGTGGCTACAGTCCTATAGACCAGTGTTTCTCAGACAGTAAACTAGGAGTCCAGGATGCACCAGTGGACCTTGGGCTGCTTTCAGGTAGGCCTCAGAGTCACAGCTTGACAATTACCTCCTCACTTGCCTAGAAAAGTTGTTGTGGGGGTGGGGGCAGCAGCAGAGTGTTTATACATTTGTATGCCTTTGAAAAACAATGCCACTTAACCATCATGGGTTAGCATAGAGTGAGGTTTTAAAGCTAGGGCTAGAAACAGAGGTGAAAGCTGTTCCTTGGTTCTGCTGGATCTCTCAGCGGCTTTTGATACCATTGACCATGGTATCCTTCTGGACTTTCTGAGGGGGTTGGGAGCTGGGGACCACTGTCATGCAGTGGCTCTGCTCCTTTCTCTTGAGCCATTTCAATAAAGCGGTGTTGGGGGATTAGTGTTCAGACCCCTGGGCACTCACTTGTGGGGTGTCTTGGGGCTGTGTCCTCTCCCCTATGCTTTTCAACATCTATATGAAGCTGCTGGGTATGCTGGCTGATGCTGATAGCAGTTGTAGTTCAACAACTGTAGAGTAACAGGTTTCCCATCCCTGACTAAAATTAATAACTTATCTATCTTTACTCCTGAAGTCATAGCTTTAACACAAGCAATTCTGGCAATGAGCCCAGAGGGAGAAAAAACCACCATCAACCAGGCCAGGTTTCCCTCCCGAGTCAGCAGCCCTACTTCTCTTGAATCTTGCAGTTGAAGAATGGAGTTTCCTTTTGTTTGTAGGGAATATATGCCACTTCCCTGCTCCCTCCAGCCCTAGTCATCACTGTGGAGTGCCACAAAACTTTGTCATAGGTCCTGTACTGTTCAACATCTCTATGAGTGATTTGGATGAAAGAGCAGAGGGGATGCTTACCATATTTGCAGATGCCACAGAGCAGGATCGCTGACACCCGAAAAGATCAAATAAAGATTCTAAATGATCTTGAGAGGTTGGAATGCTAGACCAAAAGCAACAAAATAAAATTCAGCAGAGCAATTAGGTACGAAGAATTGGAGGCACAAAGATAGGAAGGGCAGCCACACCTATGAGAAAGGTCTCGGTGTCTTAGTCGATTAGAACCTCAAAATGAGGCAGCAGTGTAATGCAGTGCCTAAGAAAGCTAATACAGTCTTAGGTTGCTTTAACCAAAGCATAGTGTCCAGGTCACAAGAGGTAATAGCTCCACTGTATTCTGCTCCGGTCAGACTGCATCTGAAGTGCTGTGCCTATTTTTGGGTGCCAAGTATTAAGAAGGGCATTGTCAAATTGGAGTGTGTCCTTGTACTGAATATAGGATCTTGGTTTTACTCCTCTTGTAATCAATAGGATTAGTTCAATTATCCAAGTATATGTAACCATCATAGAATTGTAGAGTTGGAAAGGACCGTGGGAATGATCTAGTTCCACCCCTGTAACATTGTACAGAGTGATGTTTGTATTGTCTAAGCTACAAAATAATACTCTATAAAGCAAATGGGATATGTTTTTATTGTTTTGAGGGGTTTTTTTTGCACATATGGTCTATAGTTGCAGAAATTTCCTTCTGACAGTGTATGTATGAGCCATGCTTCTCTGCCATGTCTGTTCTTGTGACATAAGCTTACCCAGATCAAATTATACAAAATGTATCACAGGATACTTCAGAAGGTATTGTTTACCCATTTTTCCTGATTGACGTTCACCCATTTTACAATTTTCAGCAGTAGGGAAATAACTGTGACCAAAACAACAACAACAACTTTGTAAACTTCTGTGGTTTTTCAGAAAACAAACATCCTAGGAATGCTGATCCATGCAGTTTCTTTACAGTAGATGTGGACGATGAGTAAAATATGTAGGTTGGTTTTGTTAAACAGAAACTTGCAGCAGAATCTTAACAATTCTGATTTAGAATTCAGTTGAACTCATTGAGTTTTTCTGGGCTTGTTCCAGCCTTAAGAGTATTTTACTCTATTATTCTTATGTCACACTGCTGAAAACATTAGTTTTCCACTTTTCCTGTTTGGATCAATTTCCTCTTTAGGAAATTGCCACTTACACAAGGGTAAAGTGCCTTACTTTGAGAATGTTTGTGTAACACAGTTATTTGGAACATGCAGTGCATGGGCAAACTAACAGTCACATGGATGCCATACTTTAGCCTAAGTGATGATGGGAGCACATCCACCTTACTTTCAGCTTGATTCTAGTTACTCAGATGTAAGTGCCAGCGTTCCATTAAGCTTACTTGCAGGTAAGCATAGAATCATCATCTTCAATGGACAAGTCAATTCCTGCTTGCAACCAGTGAGCTGGAGATTGTAGCTTGGTCCTTTTGCCTAGTAAGTTGCCTTTGAACTAGGAAATTGAAATCACCTCTGGCCTAAATTTGTATGTCTGTGCAGTATGCATAGTGCATACATTACTGCTTCTGCTGATATCCTGGGGGCTCTGTTTAATGACAAAGTTAGCTTCAGCCTTGTATCTGAGTGAGTGGTAAACAGTCCAATCCTCTGCATATTAACTCAGAAGCAAGTCCCAGTAAATTATGTGGGCCTTGCTTTCAGAAGAATGCGCAAAGAACGATATATAAATGCAATGAATGAATAAATAAATAAATAAATAACAAAACGTGCATTAGGACTGCAGCCTTTGTGTCCTAGCCACTGGGGCAGGGGTATGCAAATCAGAATGAGTTTAAAATGCTGTCTGTGACATGCAAGGGGAGCACCGTCACTTTTAAAAAAGTTTTTATTAACCAATTAACACATGTTAATTACCACCTTTTCCCCGTTTACTGTACTTGCCCACCCTTCCACACTTGCTTGCCCAAATTTAAAAGGGTTCCAAAAGTTAACTTCTGGAACTAGGGGGGGAAAAAAGGACGCTCTTCTGAAGGTCGCCGTTTTATTTTTAAGTTTGGCGGAGTTCTCCTGATGCAGGGAGTGGGATCAGCTGCCGTGGCTTGTTATCCCGAGTCCGTTGCCTGGAAACTTCAGGCACCCGGGCGCTGCCGCCTCCCCAGCAAGCGGGGCTTGGGCGATGAGGTAATCCTGTGTAGCCGGAGAAGCGGGGAGGAGGGCCTGAGCTTAAGGAACCCAGCCGAGGGCCCGCCCAGCCGGCAAAGAAAGCCCTGGCGGCAACCAGCGTTGAGCGCGCTCACCTCTCCCAAGCCGAGGTGCGCCGCCCGCAGCAGCCGGAGGTCCGCAGCCAAAAGGGCAAAGGCGCCTTCGCCGCTGGGAAAAAGGTCGCGAGGCCCTGGAGCGGAGGACGTGTGCGCTGAAGATCCCGGCTTTTTCCGCCAGCCTCAGGGCGTGGGATCCCGGCACGTAGCAGCCAGCGATCCCGGGAGCAGCAGCGCCCCCCGCAACACAGCGCCGGCTGGAAAAGGGAGCAGCAACAGCAGCGGCAGCAGCCGGCCTTTTTCCTCTCTCTCCTTCTCTCGCCTCTCCCACGTGTGGAGCCGGCTGGCTGTATGCCGCCCAAGCGGGGCATTTCCAGCCGGGGAGGTGCCGTTTTGGATCGCCTGGCGGCCGGATCGCCCGTCTCCACGCGCGCGCTTGGCTCAGCCTGAAGGCGATTCGGCGGCGGAGGCGGCGGCGGGGCGAGGAAGTAGGAAGTAGTCACAACCCCATCGCCGGCCCTGCTGCTCGTGTGCCGCTCCATCCATCACGCCCGGAGGGGGATCCGTTTACACTAGCCCGGAAAACAAGCCGAAGCGAGCGCCCGGGAACGGACGCGCCACCAAGGGACGGCGCGCGTTTTGGAGAGCCTGCGCGCGTTTTGGAGCGCCTGCGCCTGGGTGAGTGGCGTCTCTTTGCGCGCTGGTCGTGGCCGGGGGAGCGGGAGTCCCGAGCTTGTTTCTACAGTCCCGCGCTCCGGAGGAAAACCAGGCGCTGTTTTCTGCCCTCCTCGTTCGCGTCTCCTTCTACGCTGCTTCTTTTGGGTAAGCCCTGGCCGCCTGGGAAGACCTGGGAGACGTCCTCTCCTCTCCTCTCCTCTCCTGACCTGCGTGCGCTCAGGTAGGGCCAACGGAAGCTACCATTGCAGATGTGGCGTTGGACAGACAGATGAGCTGCTTCAGGTTCAGGAAGCTGGCAGGAATTGCCTTCATTTAGCTTGCAGGCGGGATGTGCCCCTGCGTGCTTACGGTTTGTCCCAATTTTTCCGCGAACCGCTGCATGCACTGCATGACAGTGGATATGACCTTCAGGAGACTTGCTTGTAAATTGGTAGAACTCTGCCCGGTTTTTACACGTTCCCTGGTTTCTTTGACTTCCTCTTAAAAACAACAGTTCAGCCTGTTTACACAAGAATTTGCTTGCAGAGGCAGACCTTGTGAATTATTTACAGCAGAGGGGGAAAGGCTTCTATGCAGCAGTCACTACCCAATTCCAGAACATTTCAGCTCTTAATCCTGATTTGTTAATGTATTTTGCATAGGTTAGTAACTGAAAGAGTGTGTATGTGCCCCTTAACGGTACAGAGAAGAAATGGTAATGTAAAGACTTACCGGTACATAAAACCAGTCATTTGCTGTTTCAGCCCTTGGAAGTTGAAATCATACTTGACCTAAGCATGCAGCTGACCTCCAAAACTATAACGAATGGATGTGTTTTTATAGAGTTAATTGAAAAAGTCTCAGAACATTATTTATAAAAGGCAGAATTTTAAACCAGAAGTAAGGTTTTTTAAGGTCATTGTGCTTGATTTATTGTTTCCAGCGAGGCCTTGCTGGGGCTCCTAAGGCCCTTGCCTTTTTTGGCTGCCATAAATGAAACCCTAGAGCCTACTAATCTCTCAGCTTTTGCTAACCTTTATTATGATATGCTGTACAGTTCATTGCCTTGTTTGTTTGTTTGTTTAAAAGATTCCTTACCCACTCTTCATTGCTGAAGGAATGCCAGAGTGGGCTACATTAAGATAAAACACACAAATGCATAGGCAAATAAGCCTGCAGCTTGCTTTGGAAACTTATGAGAGTTGGTTCCAGCTGTACTTGAGAAAAGCAAGGGATTTCCAAAACCAAGATCCTACAGAATAAGAAATGCAAGGTTTGTAGGTGATGCCATTTATTGAGCCAACTCTTGCTGGTGGTGCAAGAGCGTGTAAGCTTACAAGGTAAAACATGGGGGATGGTGATTTGTGTGTGTATCATCTGAAATCTTACGTATTCATAAACCAAAAGAGATTGGTCTTAAAGTACAATACATAGTTTTTTAAAAAATAATATTTATTCAAAAGTTACAATACAGTTACAATACATTTTCAATCAATATATCCCTCTGGGTATAGGGCGGTATATAAATTCAATAAATAAATAATAATCCCCTCCACAGACACCTCTGTGATGATGATGGCATTGAAATATCCTGTTCTTCTTCAATAAAAGAGAAAAAGGTAGAGCAGATAATGTCAAAGGTATCTTTTTTGGGAGATAACTTTGATTAGTCGCTGATGGTATGTGAGGCGTTCTGATGACACATAGTTAATCTATGGAATTGGCTATCTGCAGGATGCAGTAATGGCTGCCAAACTGGACATCTTTAAAAGGGGATTAGGCAAATTCATTGAGGATAAGGGTATCAATGGCTCCTGGTCATGCTGACTGTTCTACTTCCAGTTTTGGAGATATTATGTCCCTGAATAGCAGTTGCTGGGGTGGGACAACAAGTGGGGATGGAGCTGTTGTTCTCATATCTTGCTTGCAGGCTTCTCATAGGCATTTCATTGGCCACTGTGAGAACAAGATACAGTACTGGTCTAGATTATTAATTGACTGATTTTATTGATGCTGCAATTTCTACCATCAAAGGGATCCCAGAGTGGTCCACCTATCAGTACAAATCAGGGGCAGGGAACTTCAGACCTGAGAACCAATTATGGCCTATTAGGCTTCCCAGCATGACCCTCAGGACTCTATCCAAGCCTCTCTCCTTAATCACCCTCTCCGCCACTCCATACCCTTCTTGAATGCTTTTTTCTGAAATCTTATATGCCACCTCCTTATCTGGATGGAGAGAGAGGGGTATAGGTGTATATAGAAACCTCTGATTTATTATGTTTGGCTAGAATGTAACCCATTTTACAGAAAATAATTGCTTCAGTAACTCCATCCCCTTTTGTGTCAGACCCGCCCACCACTTGCATGTGACCCTGGCAGGTTGACTGCAAATGAATGCGGTCCTCAAGCTGAAAATAGGTTTCCCCACCTCCAACAGCATTAATATATTAAACTAGGAATCAGGTTTCTTTTAAAATATGTATATTCCATTTAAAACCGCCCAATCATCCCAAGCCACAGTGGGAAATCTAAGTGAGAAAACCAAGCAGCAGCATTCTAGCCCAGAAGCCTGATTGTAAAGATGCTTCATTCTGCCATGCATAAAGCTCAATAAGGAGGGAGACAAATGTTTCTCTAGGAGAGGGGAGACTCCTCCAGAAGCAGTATCACAAGCAAGAAAATCCTGTTGGATTGTTTGGGCCTTTGGCTTGATCTAGGATGGTTCTTCTTATAGAATCATAGAATTGTAGAGTTGGAAAGGACCACGGGGGTCATCTAGTCCAGCCCCTGCAATGCTGAAATCTTTTTGCCCAATGTGGGTCTCAAGCCCACGACCTGGAGATTAAGAGTCTCATGCTGTACCCACTGAGCTACGTTTTTATGTTTGTCAATAAATTGTGGCAAATTTTAAGACCTTTTAAACACTTCCTCCATATCATATGTTTCCTCATTCTTAAAGCATTGACGTATGGCTTGTTTCATAAATAATCCTTCATAAGCTGTTTCACCTTACGTTTGGTTGTGGCTATTTTTGCAAAATAGTGCTGGAGACCACTGTTGCACAGAAATGGGCTTGTGTCTAAATGTGACTTTGGCTAATGTGAGTTAAGCAAAGTTTTGTAGAGATTCTCTGTCATTTCATTCTCTGTGCCAGCTTGAGCTCTGTTGGCACAAAACTCTTATTGCTAGGACTCTTAACATCAATAAATGTTTAAATCAGGAGATAAGCTGCAATTTTAAGTTTACATTCTGCTCTAATTTCTAATTTTCTGGATGCCCATGCATCTTGTACATGTAAAAATTTATGACAAAACAAGATGTGCCAATTGGCATTCATATAGGTAGACTGTATAAATGTCAGTGTTTCTTTCAATGTGTATTGAGCTCCACAGGAATTGCAACTCTGCATCTGGAATAAAGTAACTTGAGTGTTGTATCATTAATATTTGAATAGCAGCAGTAGGTAAGGTGTGGATTATCTCCATGCATACAGTGTTGGGGCTGGATTGTTGGTCATCTTCAGTGTCTCTGCAGAAGGTGCAGAAATGGATCAAAAAGAGGGTCTTAAATTTTATTAGGCGCATTTTTAAACTTAGATTCTATTACATATTTTATTTATAGAAGCTTTGCGGTGTTAGGAATATAGGCCTTGCTGGCAGCTTTAAATCATTTTGTTTTTGAACCCACTCCAAGATCTGGAAAAAGCAATATAAGAGCCTGGTGCATATCAGTGTTAGAAACTCAGGTATATAAGCTAGGTGCCAAATGGCACCTTAAACCTAGGTTGTGATTGCTGAAAAAAGCTAGGTTGTGATCTGTTTGCCAGGGGGTTGGACTAGATGACCCTCGGGATCCCTTCCATTGCTACAATTTTATGATCTCAACTACGCTGCTTGACTGTAGCTTGGCTCTTGCAACAATTCACGTGTCCCAGTATGCAAGAAGGCGAAACATACACACAGAGTGGGAATGGAAATGGTATTAACTGCGGACTAAGGCAGAGGTTTTTATTTTTTATTTTTTTTTATAATTGATATTTATTGAATTTTCAAAAAATAACAACAAAAATTTCCAAAAAAAATTTAAGGATACAAAAAACAAAAATAGTACATAAACAAAAAAGAAAAGAAAACCCAGCCGCAAAGAAAAAAAAAGAGAAACAGAAAAACAAAAATATAAAGTCCTTTACAATCTCTATTGACTTCCTTTCTAGACTTCCTCCTCCTCCCCTCTTTTGTTTCTTAATTTTTAATTTTTACAGCAAATCCTTTCTGTTTTTTCATAACAATCTGTCATTACGTTTCCTTATTCTATTTTCCCTCTTGTCATATAAAAACTTTAAAACTCATAGCTTATATTCAATATTTACCAAATTCTTGCATCATTACCTTTTACAAATCATTTACCAATCCTTACTTAAGCCATGTAATTTCATTCAACATCCTTCAAACATTTGTAAGCATTCCCAATATTAAAAAATAAAAAAGAAAAATTAATAAGTCAAATTCAGTCCAGTCAGCTTCCAACCTCCCCTCCCCTGGACCCGGGATTGTCAGTCCTTTTAACCTCGATAATCCGGCTCCTTAACCTGGTTGTCTCGTATCCGAGGCCCTCAAGTCTCTTTCTTGCCCCTTTCGCCACTCTTGTTGATGATTCCTTTCCAGTCGTGGATGCTCCAGCAAGAAAATGCTTTTGACCCTTTGCAGCAAGTCCATCCCAAACCCATTGCCCAAGCCAGACAGCAAATAATACCACTTCAAATTTCCACAAAGCTTGGAGACTTCGGCTACTCCAATCCTCTGATAGCCCATCACCAGACTCGGAAGGTCCAAATAACCATATGGAGGGGGTCGATCCATCCCCCATTTCCAAATCTGACCACATTTCATCTTTCCGAATCTGGTTTGTCCCAAGTTCATTTATCAAGTTCAAAGGCTGATCTTGCCCGTCCAAAGGTCCCTCCATCTCTGAAGCCTCCGTCACTACAGCAGGTTCATATGCTTGTATAGCCTTTAACTGAATTTCATTTGTTTGCTGCTGTGCTCTGGTAACTTCCATCATCAAGGTCGTCTCCTGACGCATCTGGTCCAGCTGGGCACTTAGTTTTGAAAAACCTTCCAGGAACAATTGTTCAAGCCTTTGTACTAGCATTGTCCTTCAAGGTCAAAGAAAATTCTTTCCCACGAGAATAGTCCAATAGTCCTTCTCTTTTAATCTCTCTGCGTTGTAATTTCACTAAATTCCACTAGATGGAATTTTTTTTTTTTTTTAAAGGAATAAAAGCAACAGCAACAATCTTTCTTTTCCAGAAACACTTTATCCAAAATTCCCCCTTCCAACTTCAAGAGGCAACAGTAGAATCAAAATGTTACCCTTCTTTTAACTAACTGTCGAGCTGGATAAACTTCAGAACGTCAATTCTGACAGCCCGCTCCTGGTTCAGGGCGGTGGAAAATTGCTTTATTTTAAACTCACTTCCGCAGGATTGAAAAGTCCAAATACAACCCCCTTCTTCTCCTGCAGTCAAAGGGGGTTCAGAAATCTTAGATGTTGAATTCTAGTTCTCTTAGAATTTAATTTTCAAGCTTTAGTATATTTTGTCTTTGCTTTCTTCACATAACAAAAGAACGGAAGGCGACTTCCTGTTTAGACCTTCCCATTCCGAGTCCCAATTAAGTTCAATTTCAAGTCCAATATTATTTGTTTATTCACCAGTCTTAAAAGTGGTTCAACTCTTCCAAGATCAGGTACTCACGGATAGATATTTTAGATGCCAAATTGTCCAGGAAAAAGGCAGCGCTCTCCGATAACGGCAGTGCGGCTTTGCTGCACGGAGGAAGCAGACGACTCACAGCACCACGCACCTTCCACTCCGGAGCCCGTTACCGGGCTCCTGTACAAGGGGAGAGAGCGCTCTCGGTGCCCGCCGAGTCCCACGTCCACAGGCTTCTTCCGCCTGTGGTTTTTGCGGGTCCCCGCTGCGCCGTAGCGGCAGGACCCAAGCCTCCGTGCAGCGGGTTCCCTTCAGTCCGAAGGGAATTCCGCCATTTTCCGGAGGCGCCACCCCGGAAGTCCCTAAGGCAGAGGTTTTTAAACTGTGGTCTGTGTGTTCCATTTGGGTGGCCTTTGGAAAGGCTGCACAGTCAAAAAATATGTATTTATTTCCTTCATGTGATGATGCAGGACTAAGATGCCCCGCAAGGGGTCCTTGATTCACGCGGCAGTCCAGAAGCACAAGACACATATCTTTTGCTGCACACAAGTCAGCTGCCTCGATGGAGATTGTCACTCACAAACCTGGTGTCTAGAAATCTTCACGTAGTCACAATTGGACCTGTGCCAGTAGCAAAATGCTACTGGTGCAGATGTATTCTTAACCAAGGTTTGGAAGCAGGCTCTGCTCCATTCCCCCATTCCTTCCTTTCCTGTGAGCAAATGTCACCCAACATCTTAGCCACAGTTAAGTGGCAGCCGTTTTCACATTGGAAAATCTGATCAGAGTGCACACTTGGAACCCTGATTTGTATGTGTTTTAACAGGTTGTTTTTCATTTCACTTTCATCGTATATTGTGGAAGAGAACTGCAGGCACCCCCACACTTGCACAAAAGCGACATGTGTGCAACTGTGTACATGCACAGCACCGGGAAGTGAATTCAAGTCTGGAAATGGGGGGCAAGAGCTGGAGACTGAGTCCTCGCGGCTCACAAGGAGACCCTCCTTGGAGCCCAGAGAGGACGTCAGTGTGGGTGGAGGAAGCCCCAAAGAAACTGGAGGTGCAGCAGGGCTTTGGTTATGGTACTCAGCGTCCCCGCCTAACAGCTGACATGTGGGTTATCGCAGCAGCAGCAGCCACCACTTTCCCGCATGTCCTCCAGCCTCCTCCCAGCCCCAGCGCTTCAATCCTAGCTGTGGATATTTTTCGATACAGTATTTTTGGTCTGGATTGGAAATAGAGCGGCAGAGGGGGAGTTTAAAAGACTGTTTAGAGGGTGCTCGCCACTTACACAATTTTCCCTTATGGGGGGGCTGGACCATAACCTCTTCATAAGTAGGGGGGATACCTGTAGGGAGGAGCATCTTTGTGTTGACAAATGCATATTTTACAGGTATTAGTGGCAGATCACTAGTGAGGTTTATCCCTCTAGAAAAACCACCAAGCGTGCTAGTTATTTAACACTGGTTATAAATATTGCTGTGTAGTATGAGAGCATTTCCATGACCAAACACAGCACATTTTAGTAGTGGTTTTTAACTTCTCTAAAGTTCTTCTCGCCAGATATTTAGATAGCCGCAGTCTTTGTTATGACCCCATTCTTTGTTCTTTGGATACTGTGGTCTGGTTTGGCTTGTTTGTCAGTATGTTGCCTGGGAAGTTCTTCCCTCCTATGTGAGAATTACCATATTTTTTGCTCTATAAGACTCACTTTTTCCCTCCTAAAAAGTAAGGGGAAATGTGTGTGCGTCTTATGGAGCGAATGCAGGCTGCACAGCTATCCCAGAAGCCAGAACAGCAAGAGGGATTGCTGCTTTCACTCTTGCTGTTCTGGCTTCTGAGATTCAAAATATTTTTTTTCTTGTTTTCCTCCTCCAAAAACTATGTGCGTCTTGTGGTCTGGTGCATCTTATAGAGCAAAAAATATGGTACTTCCTACAATGTTACTAGATGATGTATTCTGTATCTGGAATCTTAATTTGTTGTGTTAGAATTACCGGTAAGTTCTAATTTCCTGCAGGATGTATGCATTCATTAACCTGGTCTGTATTACACAATCACAGCAGACTTATTCATATATCGTCCCCATAATTCCTCTAGGAAATTTTATTGTTCATAAGTTTTACCTGGCACTGCTCTTGTGACAGCAAAATGCAAGCATTATAAACATAAGACCTACAGTGGTGCCTCGCAAGACGAAATTAATTCGTTCCGCAAGTCTCTTCGTCTTGCGAGTTTTTCGTCTTGCGATGCACGGTTTCCCATAGGAATGCATTGAAAATCAATTAATGCGTTCCTAGGGAAACCGCCTTCAGACCAGGTCCGGGGACAGTCTGTCCCCGGACCTCTTCTGAAGGCTGGGGGCAAGGGCTTTTCTTCCCACCCCCAGCATTTAAAAAAACCCCGGGACAGCGGAGGACTTCTCCGCTGTCCGGGCGATCTTAAAATGCTGGCGGGCGGCATTTTAAAATCACCCCGGGACAGCGGAGGACTTCTCCGCTGTCCGGGGCAATTTAAAAGCCCCTGGGAAGGCAGGGGGGACAAAGACTTTGGCCCCCCGCCAGCCTTCAGAAGAGGTCCTGGACCTCTTCTGAAGGCGGGCGGGGGGCGAAAGTCTTTGCTCCCCCCGCCTTCAAAAGCCCTCCGGGACAGGCAGGCAGGGGGGAGCAAAGACTTTCGCCCCCCCGCCCGCCTTCAGAAGGTCTTCCCTCCCCCCCGCCCGGCTTCGGAGCACCGCTCCGGGCCGGGCGGCGGCGGGAGGTCTTCCCTCCCCCGCCCGGCTTCGGAGCACCGCCCGGGCCGGGCGGCGGCGGGAGGTGTTCCCTCCCCCCGCCCGGCTTCGGAGCACCGCTCCGAGCCGGGCGGCGGCGGGAGGTGTTCCCTCCCCCCGCCCGGCTCGGAGCACCGCCCGGGCCGGGCGGCGGCGGCAGGTGTTCCCTCCCCCCGCCCGGCTCGGAGCACCGCCCGAGCCGGGCGGCGGCGGAGGTCTTCCCTCCCCGCCCGGCTCGGAGCACCGCCCGGCCGGGCGGCGGCGGCAGGTGTTCCCTCCCCCCGCCCGGCTCGGAGCACCGCTCCGGCCGGGCGGCGGCGGCAGGTGTTCCCTCCCCCGCCCGGCTCGGAGCACCGCCCGGCCGGGCGGCGGGGAGGTCTTCCTCCCCACCGCCCGGCTCGGAGCACCGCTCCGGGCCGGGCAGAGGCGGGAGGTCTTCCCTCCCCCGCCCGGCTTCGGAGCACCGCTCCGGGCCGGGCGGCGGCGGCAGGTGTTCCCTCCCCGCCCGGCTTCGGAGCACCGCCCGGCCGGGCGGCGGCGGCAGGTGTTCCCTCCCCCGCCCGGCTTCGGAGGAGCCTTCCGAGCCCGGCGGCGGCGGGAGGAGGTGTCCCCGCCCGCCGCCGGGCTTCGGAGGAGGTCCGAGGACAGTGGGGAAGACGCGCTGCGCTTCCCCGCTGTCCCTGAGATTTCCCTATGGGCTGTCGTCTTGCGAAGCAAGCCCATAGGGACATTGCTTTATGAGCGCCTCAAAACGGAAAACCCTTTCGTCTAGCGGGTTGTCCGTCTTGCGAGGCGTTCGTCTTGCGAGGTACCACTGTATCTAGTTAGTGGGATTACAGAAATTCAAGCAGTCCCATGTGACTGTACTGTATTTGTGGAGGGGAATGCTGATTTTTAAAGGCTTCTCTTGAAAATACAAAAAAAAAAAAATCTTATTTAATGTCAGCTCTGGTTTTCAGTTAAAGTATTTAAAATATCAATTCAGTGGCACCTCTTTGAGATGACAAATTTGTAACAGCACAAGCGTTCATAGGTTACATGATTCTTCATATGAAAAACTTGGATAGTTGGCGACAAGCATTGCAACGCAGTGTGTTTATAATCTGTATGTCAAGTACTAAGGAATGTAAGGAGCTTATAGTGATAAATTGTTCACTCAGTTTTTAAAATGGGAGAAGACTCTGTAGTGCTAGATCAACATTGTATAAATTCTTCTCCCACCTTATGCTCCTTAAGGAAGAAAATTAATAATTTTCTTACGAATGATCATTTTGGAGTGTCCTTGAAAGCTGAACTGCTTCACAAGTTACGTTGTGTTTCTGCTTTTTATACAAGATTTATATCTTTTCATCTGCTTCCTTAATGACAACATTGTTTGGACATTGTAGGCTGTTGAGGGACATTTTCAGCACAATGTATATGCTGAAATGGAGTTGTAAGATGTAGTTATTTGACACTGCTATTGTACTGTTTGTGTCAATTAAGAGACACCATTGGCCTGGTGTCTAGTGCAGAATCTGTTGCCTTGATGTGTTGATCCTGTGGTGTGCTTATTGATAAAGAATTGTCTCAGACTTGGGGACTGTCTGTGTTAGAGAACAATAGCTTTGTCAAAACCTTAACTTTAGGCCCTGAATGGTTGATATTCTGTAGTATGCAAAAACTTAACATTATACAGTAGTTGTTTCCATCAGTAAGTTAGTGTGCTGTTTCATACTGAAGTGCAACAGTATTGTTTAAAGGGACAAATTCTGCACCATTTTAATCTTAGTGCGACTCACCCAACAGTTATGGTATGATACCACCAAGAGAAGCAGAGTACTTTATCCTATCCATCAAAACACATTGCATTACTGTAAGGCTAAATGTATCTTGCTGCTTCTTATAGCTAAAGCAGGGCTGGCAAGCTATGTCCTCCAGATGTTGTTCAACTTCAGATTCCATTATCCTCAGCCAATAAATAGTCCTGGATTATGAGAGTTGTAGTCAGTAACATCTGGAGGGGCCCAGGTTAGCCACTTCTGGGTTAAAGCATCTCAAGACAGAAAACTTTCCCAGGTTGTTGCAAGGCAAGCCAAGTAATCTCTACTAAGTTACAGAGCCTAAGCCGCCAAAATAATTAACTTGTAAGCATTATCTCATGGCTAATCTCTGTACGTAGTAACAATAAGCCTCTTAACTGGATAAGTGTAAGTAGTAGAGTAAGTCAAAGTTTTTCTCATGAACATTGTAACTAAGGCAAGCACTTTAGTTAAAAGTTTACGTTTCATTTGTGGGAAAGGCAGTCTTTCCTTTATAACTTTCCCCCTCAAATTATGAACTCTTTTGTTTAGCAAATGAACGAAATGAACTAAAAATGAACTAGATCTGGAGCCCAACCTGCTGCTAAGGTGGGAGGGGAGTGACCATATAGATATATATATTTCACTAATTCTCCCAATTTGAGGTGTGTTGTTACATTTTTTTAAGTCGGAGAAATGATACAGAGAGAACCAGAGATGATAATGGGTGGCCTTAGTTAAAATGAGGTTTCAATTTTAGGGCTCATGGGCCCAAGCCTAAGACTACTATTCTGTGTGTATCCTTGGGCTGTAGTCTTACTCGATTGCAGAAATTGCTTGCAAATAGCAATGCATAGGATTGCATCATTAGTTTGATTTGCAGTCCGATCCTTAGGCATATGTACTTAAAGCTAAGTGCTATTGTTTGGTAAAAGTTGCATCCAAGTTAACATGCTGAAGACTGGGCTGTAAATATTTATACCGTCCTCTGATCACAATAATCCCTATGAAGCAGCTGAAGTGAATGTTCTGTATATTTATTTCTCTTACAAATGATAGAATTTAGATCACTACAACCACAAAGCTACCATATGCTGACAACATTGGGATTGTGACGAAACTGAAACCCAGATTTTAAGTCTTTGCAGTCAGAATATAGTAATCGAAGAGTAGATAGGAGCAGGAGCACCTCAATCCATTCCTTGGCCTTATCTGCCTGGTTTTTGTAACTGATCAATATTGGAGTAACTCTTGCTTTAAATTGTCACCTTGAACACACCCAAGAAGCAGAGAAACTCCAAAACTTTCCATTAGAAATTCAGAATGTCAGAAATAAGATGATATACATTTCTAATGGGACACGGGTGGTGCTGTGGTCTAAACCACTGAGCCTAGGGCTTGCTGATCAGAAGGTCGGCGGTTTGAATCCCCACGACAGGGTGAGCACCCGTTGTTCGGTCCCAGCTCCTGCCCACCTAGCAGTTCGAAAGCATGTCAAAGTGCAAGGAGATAAATAGGTGACTGGGGCTGATGGGAGTCCAGCAACATCTGCAATATTATAAGGTGATTTGAACTCCATGAGTAAAACGGGATGTAAGTTAGTTGGATAAACAAATAAATAAATAATATAGCATTCTAAAATTTAGCATCAAGTCTCTAAAACACCTTGGAGTTGAGACTAATCAAAGAACCTTTGTGATATAAAGTTAGCAGTTGTTTTCAAAAACTGGTTTTGAGACTAAAACCATGGAGTTGGTTTCCTTTAAAAAAAGTCTTCTCTTTACAACTTACCGCACATTACACCAGGCAAACTTAAGTGTGCCAGAGAGGAAGCTAGTGGTTGAATCATCGGGACTGAAGTAGAAGGGCATAAATAATGTGGAGAGAGAGATTCATTGCTATTTGTCTCAGAAGGAAACTTGCAGCAATAATAATTTCACCAATACATTTATGCCACCCATAACTTAATCGCTTTATTTATTGAAATAGGATTTCCTGAATTCATAAGAAATCCTCTTTCAATCAAGAAAGTGACCAATTTATGGGTGGCATTTGATTTGTGGAGGGATTGTAGACAGGCGTGTGGGCTTAAAGTAAAAGAAAAGAGGAAATGGAGCAGCTGATTAGTGTCTCAACATGAACAACCAACATGAGGTGCATGTGAAATTGCCACAGTCCACAACCATTTTGGCAGACGAAACCACTTGCTTATCAGTCACGGGCATGACATAAAGCTTGCCAATAGCATGTTGATAGTTTTTATCTACTGACATGATTGTTGAATTTCTAGCATTGAAGAGTTGTTTCCAAAAGGTGAACAGTCTTGATCTAATATCAACACTTGTAGGTGATCCAGGGATTGGAATCTTTGTTGGACAGCTATGGCTCTGAGCCACAAACAATTTAAACACACAGGTCTCAGATTTACTGTACTGTACTTTTCAGACCCACTTTGGAGCAAGCATACATTAGCTGCTAGCTGCTAATGAATTTCACTGGAGTGAGCTGATTTAAATGCTTATTACACAGGATTATTAACTCCAGCGACTGGGTCACTGTTCCCATCTTCTATAAATTTTAGCTCGGCATAAAAGTGTGGCAGAATGACTGGGGTTTTTTTTGGGGGGGGAGGCATTGTATGGCCTTTTATCCCCACTATTTAGGGACTCTATGTCGGTAATCTGCCATCTGAAGATACATCTGAGGAAGTGGTTTCTAGTCCATGGAAATTTATACCACAATGGATTTGTTGGTTTTTGGGCATTACAAGACTCTGTACTGCTTTTACTACAATAAATCAATATTACTTCCCCTCTGAAATGCCCAATTTAAGTGACCTGTAGACAGGAAACAAATGTATTGCGGAATTGTTTGTTAGAGGTTAAAAAATAAAAGGTACCACATAAGGAAATAAAACTGCTTTGCAGCTCACCTCCAGAATTGGAGGTTAGTGGTCAGTTCAGCTTAACTTGTGTAATAACACAAGTACATACAACCTGATACACATTATGCAACAAACTGTATTTTATATAATGGCCAAATTGGCAGTTGCAAAAATCCTGTGGTTTGTCCTCTCTCTTCAGCACAATTACGTTAACTCAGTGTGCACATGTTTTTAAAATAATTGTATGACAAGGTTTTAAGGGGAAGCCAC